CAGCGGTGCTTAGCAGCCCGTCTCACAGAGACCGGGTCAAGACTCACGCCGAGAGAGCTTCACTGCTGAGGCCTGTATATATAATGCATCACAAAGACTTTCCTAATACATTCAATTGATGCTTTGTTTGTTCATGTAAAGAGATAATAGTACACTTATGATATATTCAGGGCTGCACATAACTCTTTTGGTCTGGTTCTGAAGGGAGCACCTGGAGATGCTGTTTGGTACTCACACTTTACTCCGCACACTTATCCTGCAAGCTGCCTAAATGTAAAATAACACTATTTTGTTCACAGTAGAAATTAAATATAGGTTCATCTTTGTTAAAGCTGTATTTAAAAAAAATTAACATTAAATGACAGAGACGGGAATATTAGGCTGCTGTCACTTTAAGACCGAATATACTGACACTAGGGGTGTGACGAGATGCTTATCTCACGAGACGAGACGAGACACGAGATTGGGTTCACGAGAACGAGACGAGACGAGATTTTTGCACAATTTTTCAGAAATCCTCAATGACAAAATTTATGACTGGAAAAATAGTATGCAGGTGCATTTTTCAATGTTTTAACTAATAATCTTCTAATGCATGTCATTTCAGGTCTACTTTATGAGTATGAATTATCAAATGCATTGAAATAAAACAATATTCAAGCACTGTAAAAGGTTTTTATTGACTGGCTTTTCTTCTGTATGATTTCACATGAGTCTCTTCAGACCTTACTGTACATGTAAGAGTTTTCAGAACTTCTGATTGAGGCTGTGTGGGACCTCCTAACTGAACTCCTTTACATACATTTAACAGAGAAATAAAAACAGTATAAATAACAAAAATAAATAACAGTTTTCTCTTAGTCTTATTAAGTGCAAACAATAAGTGCAACCATAATCAAAGTTAGCACACAGACTCTTTATAATTGTTGTGAAATTGCTGTTTTATTTTGCACCGGCAGTTATAGGGTTAATGCAGTGAGTTCGGAAAAGGCCGGGTAGAGAGAAACGAGGCTGGTGCGTTTGTCTCTACAGCGTTCCGATTATAAGTTCAGAAACGGAGCCTCCCTTGTCTGTTGTCCTTTATACGTTACAGTGCTCTCTCAATATTCGCAGTGCAAACAGAGACCATAGCCGCAAATAAACAGTCCAGAGATGGGTATTGGGAGACGGACTATTGTATGTATGCAGCCTAATTTGTGCGCAATGCACATCAGGGAGCTTGTGTTTTACTTTCACTTACAAATTCGTGACCGCGCGTATAGGGAGCAGTGGTGCTGAGCGCGCATATTCTAGAAGATAAGACATTTATCAGACGTTTAGTCTGTTGCGCAACGAATCCTCCGCTCCGCCATCGTCACGCGATCAGTGAACTGGGATTCGTGCTGCACTGATTGCAACAGCAATTCGTGCTGGATGAAAAGAGCAGACTTTCACATTAGATTATAATGGTTTTTATTTTTTTTATAAAAACAACAAAACGATAGTTTAGGCGAATGTGAGTGTAGCAGTGAAATATTCATGGCGATATCGCGAGACAGCTTTTTCACTCGACGAGAAATCTCGTCATATTTAGTCTCGCGAGATCTCGTCACACCCCTAACTGACACAAATCCAGGTTCTTTCTCAACTCTTCACTTATGACATATGATGAGAATATTTGCCGAGACGGATATTTTGACATAATTTTGTGTGTGTCTGTTCACCGTTAACCGTCTCTGACATTGCGAGTGGCTAACACATATTTAGCCGCTAGTGCAGCTGTGCTATCATCTTCTCCAAGTGTGAAGGGCATTTTCTCAGTATCACTCAGTTCAATGAATGATGGAATCAATGTTTCAAATCTGGGCAGAAAATTCTGTTACATTGATATATTTAGTACAGATGAGTAGAACGTTTTCCTCATCCTCTATTTGCTGTAGATCACAGCAATCCTCTGCTCTCTCTCTGTCCATGTTTGTCTACATCTTCCTCTCTCTATTTCTAGATCATGGTCACGTAATCTGTATTTGGAGAGGATTTGTCTTTCTTTAAATTGTTTAATTAATAGATAATTGGCCAATTTAGTGGTTCTATTTAGGGTAGAGTAACATTGGAGTTTATTCTGGAGGTCAAAATGTGCTTTTAGTGATTCATCATGAGTGTCTTTTAGTTTTTTGACGATTTCTTTAATAATAGTTTTGGGGTTCTCTCTCTCTCTCTCTCTTCGAGTGTGTGAGGCTGTGCGCACAGATAACAGTGTGCGTTATTTTTACCACACATGCGCACCAATTATGTACACCCCTGGATATATTGTAATAAGTGCTGTCAAATCGATTAATCGTGATTAATCACATCAAACTTTTATGTTAGATGTGATTTATCATGATTAATCGATTTAACACATTTTCTACAGAAGATTTGTGTGGTGAACCCTGTAAATTTTTTGGGTGATTGCTTGGGTGTTTTGGCTGATTGATAGGATGTTCTTACTGGTAGCTAGGATTTTCTGAGTGGTTGCTAGGGTCTTCCGGGTTGATTTGGAACTGTGTTGTTGGTTGGGTGTTCTAGGTGGTTGCTAGGGCATTACTAGAGAATACTAGGAGGTTGCTAGGGTGTTCCAGGTGGTTTCTATGATGTTCTAGGTAGTTTCTAGGGCATCACTAGGGAAGTCTAGGTGGTTGCTAGGGTGTTTATATGAAATTCTGGATGGTTGCTAGGATGTTCTATGTGGTTTCCAGGGCATTACTGGGGAATTCTGACCTGCAGAGTTCAGATCCAACCCTGATCTAACACACCTGTCTGTAGTTATTAAGTGCTCCTGGTCCAGTTGTGAACTTTGCAGGAAGGTAGATCTCCAGGAACAGGATTGGCCATATTGAATTGGTGATAGGTAGGGTGTGTTGGATGGTTGCTAGAACATTGCTAGGCTATTTTCAATCTCCTCAACATGTCACACTCTTTTGAAACAAATACCACTAAACAAGGAATGAATAAAGCAGAAATCCGAAGCAGTTTACAGGCCATGCCTGCTGTAGTGACAGAGAGAATCTCTCCCGTTCGCCTCTGAGATGATTACCTGACACAGTAAACAAGCATTTCCTGGATGTACAAGAGTGCCAAAGAGGAAAAGATACAATGGGGCTTTTAATAGATCAGCAAGCCGATGCTGTCCATGGAATAAAACACACTCTGTTCTCACTGGCCCATCAGAACTGCATGCCCTGCTTGTGTTTGGAGCAGGCCCTGTTTACACCTGGTATGAAGATGCATTTTGGTCGATCGGATCACAAATGGACGACGATAAATACAGGTGTAAACGGGGTCTAAACGTTTTGAGCTTGTCCACTTTCAGTCACTTCCAGAGTTGAAAACGCATTCAACCGGATTGCTTTCGTAGTGTAAACACTCATGTGGTCGAATGTGTTCAAACAGCCACAAAAAACACTCTCCGTCTACTGACCTGATGCGTAAACATTATGGGAAGAGCTCTAGCCAGACGGGATTTAAAGTTTAATACGGCCGAAGGGGTTTTGTAGTCTGGAATCTTATGATTTACTGCTATGATAAACTTCATCATTTGACTCTGTCAAATATATTTAATTGTTTGATAATTATTGTTGTCATTCATCTGTCAGCAGCAGGGTGAATCATTACAGCATCATTACGGAAAAGAAAATATGTTTTTGTTGTTTGTTTAGCCAACAGAATGCCTTGTGGTGGCTCTCAGTTTGAGAGAAACCACACACAGGGGTGTGTGTGAGAGGAACTGTAGCGTGATCTGAGCTGATATATGTTTACGTCTTAAAACTTGTTTATTGTTTTCAAAAAGACAGCCACCAAATCAGGTGGTTGCTAACACCACAATTCACAGCGCCAAACACATGATGGATGTTATGCCAGCCAACAAGGACAAATGAACTATGAAATCCAATATGGAACCATGAATAAGTAGATTGCAAAGGTTGCCTACAATTTCTGTGGCTTCTGTTCTCATAATGAGATTCCACATGAAGAAAGCTAACAACCCAGCTTGATTAAGTTCCCCTACTCAACAGGTCGGTTGAAGTCTCCACAGAAATCTCTTCAGATAGCATGGAAACAATGCTAAATTCAAATGCAACTAACCATATTATTATGCATAGAATAGGATAAAATCATCTGGAACCTGTTGCAAAACCAGTAGAAAACCCCAGCCCTGTGCTATTTAAACTGCTATCATCGTGATTTAGAACCCAGTTGAGGTACCATTACGACTGAAAATTCAAACCCAGTACCTTGCAGAGTTCAGATATTGATTGTGTTGTGGGTTCTCTCTCGAGGTCATACACTTCACTCCCTGAGACTGATCTTTACCCACCGCTGTGTAACGATCACATCGCCTGGTGTCCGGTTCCTAATCCTTTAATCTTTTGGCCCAGGGTTGTTTCCATTATCTGCTCTTACACAACATAAGTGCTGTCCACACCGTTCCAAAAGTCCTGTAGAGGTCTTAAAAAATAAATAAAAAGGGAACAAGCGTAAGAGTATTTTCAGATGACTATCTTCAGTTTTATTTCTAAGCATTCGTTTATAAGATTTGACATGCTAATTGAGAATGAGATGATTTTAGCACTTTTATTGTTCAGTTTACAGATAAATTACACGTAAATTGAGTGATTCAGAAACTCTGTTTGGAATATTCAAAGCTGAAAACTTCATTTCCCAGAAACCCTCAGTGTCGTCAAATTTCAACATTATGCTTCTGAATCTCCCTTAAATATCATTATATTACTATGTATATTTATGGTGAACATATAAACCAATCAATAAACTGACCTCGTCGATATTTAAAAACAGAATAATATAAGTAGATTCACGCGGTCACTTCCCTGTTCTGCGTCTGTCTCCCATGATTCTCCACGCTGAACTTTGATGAATATTAATGAAGCTTCGTGTCTGTCGACAATCGCACTCGGCCTTTGATTGGTAGACATTACGTAGGCTCATTAATATTCAGAATCAGTTCCTCAACGTCACCGCGCAGGCAGAGCTCGGTGTCAAAGCACGGTGCGCGGATCGCAGAACCCTTCAGAGAGAGAATTATTACATATATGGTGCATTTCTCCGTGGACTTTCTGCACAACAATCACTGTTTGAGTTATCAGAGTAAAGCAGTCTACGAGGAAAAAAAAAACATGTGCAACACAGAGGAGAGGTGAGATGATATACGATTGCATTTTTTTTACAGTCGTGCAACATTTTAATTTCATGCACATAACGTTACTGGCAAATATTTTGCAGCTGGTGATTATTATGATTATTTTACATATGTTTTAACGTGCCAATATTTATATACTTAAAGTGTTTTTAAATAATATTTAATAATACAGCACATATTTATAAATATGTCAAATTACTTGTAATGAAAATTGTAATGTATACATTTATGTATTGTTATATATAGAGAGAGACTATTATACAAAATATACAACATTAAACATAAAATATATATCAATAATATTTACAATACTCATTTATTTTATATTTCGTTTGATATAGAGATGTGATGTATGTAAATTATGAATGGGCAGGATCTAATTGTGATGTACTGAAGTATCAGACTCAGACTGTGATCAAAGCGGATTTAATGTCGAGCAGACAGATGAGTGTGAGAGACTCACACTGCTATAAATATTTTATCCATAACCCCATCAACTCAATTAGGATTCATGAGCTTGTAACAGGACTGTCGATGCCGACCAAAGATCCCAAAGATAATTAGTTTTTCCTAAACAATCTAATTTCCTATTCTTGCAATTTCCTAATCTGGATTGAGGATGGAAACCCGAGCGAGCACAGATCACCTGCAAGGATCCTGTTATGAAACTCTCTAGACAATATCAGCGGTTGTTTTCATTGAAATGTTTGTTTTTGAAACAATATTAGCTCTAGTGCAGGGGATGAACCATATTTAACCTGAGATTTAAGGTATTCTGAGTGAGGAATATGGGGACAAAACATTACATTAGCTATAGCTCCTAGAAAGCTCTGTTGTTTACCTGCAACATCTTTGCAGTGGCCCTGTTTATAGACCCTATGAACAATTCAAACATCAGAGCATTTTCCATGAATGTTTCCTCGCCGGTCACAGAATGACATCCCAAATCCATCCGCACTCACATTTCATGCAACGTCATTTCATTCCCGTTTCTCAACCTCACGTTCTGTTTGTGTTTTGGTTGTTTTACTTGGACTCCGTCCAGACCATCAATGTTAAAAAGAGAAACACTTTACAGAAGAATGTGGGAGCGCTAAGGCTCTGGCAAAACAGAAACATCAGACTTGTTGTCAAAGAAGGTCACTTGCTTTGAGGCTTTGTAATCTGATATGTGAAAAACACAAACCTGCCATACCTCTCCTGGTCAGGGATTGGTCTAAAACACGTTCACTGTGAGTTGAAGGTCGTACGTCACCTTTCGTGCCCCTCTGTATAGCCAAATGATAACTGTTTTCCTGGAAGACTCGCAGTATCCTGTTTTGGTTTTGACTGTTTCCTGGTTGTTCTCCAAACACTCAGCAGAGCCAGTAATTACTACACTAAAGATTAACCTGAATCCCGGTCTTTAAACAGATCCGGACTATCACCCTGTGCTGGTCCTGGAGGTCAACTGGAGTCGGGAATGATCTTCAATTTTAGTGGAATTATGTTTAGTGGAACAAATTTAGTGTTTAACAAATTTAACTACTTTCTCAGTAACAAAAAGAGGTCCTTTGAATTGTTTTGGGAATAGATTCTGCTTTTGGACTGAATCCAACATTATCCTTAACTTATATTACTATTGTTCATAACCTGGATTTTTTTTTTTTTTTAAACCAACAGACATGCATGATAGCTTAAAGTCGGCATGAAATGTAAGTTGTGAAAGTGTTTTCTTCCCTATTGTGACATATATCCGAGTGAAGCAGCTTCTCGAACAAGAAAAAAATGATTTTGGCCATTGGGAATTGATTGGATCATTGGATGGTTGTGGTTTGCTATTGGTCGATCTCATGTGAGTGACAGGTTGCCCCGCCCTTGCGCCAGTAAACACATCATCAGAGAAAGAATAAATGTCACTGCAGGAGGGAAGGAAAGATACAGTATTTTGTTTAAAGATTATAAGGGCACATGAATTAAAAAAATGATGTGCCAGGATAAATCATTTTATAATAAATACTGCTGTATTCCATAGAAAAAATTCAAATTGTCCATTTTGATTTTGCATCTTTTTGAGGAAAGTGTGCTATTGCTTTTCCAGGCGTACAAACTTGCGATTTTCACCTGCTAAATGACAAAACATAACAAAAATTCCCATTATATCACCAGAATATGAAGCATAACCTAGCAAAGCTCTAGCAGCCACTCGAAATATTCCTAGAAACCACATAGCAATCTAATGCACACTCGAGTTCTGTATGTTAAATGAATCCAAGAAAGTCCCACTGTTTCAGTTTCCTTTTCTTTTTTTTGTTGGCCTGAATCTGTTTTGATCCAGAGCGTATAATCAGAGACGGTGGAGGGGAGGAAAGTGCTTGAATGTCAGAGGGTGAAAGTGTCGGCTTTCAAAACAAGCTGACATTTCACTCGCAGATACCCAGCACTCTTTACAGAGACCGGGAGAGGAGAACCAACTAAACAAGAGTGTCTCAAAAGTGCCTTGAAAAATCTGTACTGAAGTAAAAAATAGTCACCAAAAAGGAAAGGAACATCTTCACCTGTTGTTTATGTGGTCACCATGCAGATTATGTCACCTGGGTTACATGTTCGGTTGCAAGGAAACCATTACGCCCTTCTTACATTTGCCTGCTGGGTAATCTGGCTCATGAGACTTGAAAACAATGCACCCAAGTTTCGAACGGCCAATTCATTTGTCATGGATTGCTGTCAGCTGATAATGGCATACAATATCAATGTTCTGTTTCCAGATCAGCTTATTGCCAATACGTGAGCTCATATTCCCGTCTAGCTTGTTGTAAACAGGGTTGTTTTGAAAATCAGGAATTTTCTAGAAAGCTTTCAATCATAATGAGAGATTTTCGCTGACAGTGTGTGCGCCCTGGCTTCAGATGAGATATCCGATCCAAAGATCTCCCAGTAAGTCATGGGGACATAAATGTCTGTTATTACCATCTCTAAAAGCCAGTGCTGTAACTCAAGCCTTCTGGGATGTCAAATGTTCTCAGCCAAGCTGCTATTTACAGACTTGTTTTCACGTCATGTGCTTGTTTGTGATCTGTGCGAACTGGCTCGCTTCTGTCTAGTTGAAAGTGAAGTGCTGCCATAGGGCCAGATTTACTAAACAGCGCAAATTAGCATGAAAGCACAATTCCAAAAAAGCGCCGATGGGAGTGGAAATTGCGAAGAACACAGACACAGCCGGATCATTTCCATAATCTATAATCATTTCCAACGCAATCTAACAAGAGCAGCTGCAAATTAGTGTCTGGTTTAAGTATTTTTATAATGGCGGTAAATAATGGCGGAGATACTTAATACCATTGACTAGCGCAAACCTTAGTAAATCACGTTGCGTGATTCATTTAAATACTCTCCTTCCCATAAATGTTGTGTCTGAAAGGGAAACTCCTACAAATGCACTTGCAATAAGGTCAGCCGCAAAAAAATAACCCTGTCCACGCCTATTCAGCGCTAATTTTAGTGTTAAGTAAATCCTGACAGTAGTTTTTTAACGCCAAAAGAGCGTTTGCGTTGGCGCAAGCTGTTAGTAAATCTGGCCCATAGTCTGTAATCCGAGAACTGAGCGCTAATGTGAAAACAGAGCTGCAGAAAACAAGACAAGGTGACAGTGTCTGATAAGGCATAAGAACACATATATATAGAGAGAGCCAACGTTTCAGTTAAGCAGACAGCCAGATTGGTTTATGCTGTTGGCAGGATGGGTATATCTGTTATCGGCTGGCACTCTGAGGCCTGAGCCAAAATGCGTCATGAACTTAAATCATGACGCGACAAACAGAGCGAAGGTAGTTTTTAGAAGCAAATGCCCATTTTAGTTATAAGCACCAGAGGAAAACTGTGTTAACCTTACACAGCTGTGACATATTGGTCTTTTTGATATTCTGTGTTGTAGTTGTGCCGTGCTTGGCTCGAGGCAGCGGGCTCCAGGGCCTCTGTGGTGCTCCTGATGCCCCTCTCCCACTAACGAAGATCCCGGGTGGGCGAGGGACGGGCAGGGATCTCCCTCACAGCGTACTTCACAAAGTAAGAACACACACACACCGTCTGAATTGGTGTTCGCTTTTGTATGAACGTCACGAACAAACATTTAAAGGGGTCCTATTATGCTTTTTTATGTTTTCAACTTTCTTTAGTGTGTAATGCAGTTTGAGTATAAAAAAGCTCTGCAAAGTCACTACAAAGGGAGTTATTCTCGATATCAGTGCGCACTGTTTCTGGACACCCTGAAACGCGTCTTGAGTTTTCTTCTGGGAACGTACTCTTCACAATAAATAATAAAATAATGTAAATAATTCACCAGGCATATGCAAAAAAAGAGGCGAGGCCTGGTTGAGTTGCGTTAGTAGTGTGTTAAAACTCGCAGTTATGGTAATGAGCGTGACATTTCCCCAAATACTCTCAAAACGGTCGACCTATCAACACAACACACTGGTCCATCCGACCAGAGCACATTGCACATTTCAGAACATAGAGACTGGAATTAAACATACTGACAGTTACTGACAGACTGGGAAGAGAGGTGCTGCAACAATGTCAAATATGTGAAAAAAATAATGTGTTTTTGAAAAAATCAAGCACCTATTACTGTAGACCCCCAAAACAAGACTGAAAAAGGCCGATTTTCTTATTCCTTGCCAAAAATTAAAGTTATGCCTCTGTAATGGTAATATATTTAATACATGCTAATCCAATTAAGATGCACACCTAATATAATGCTGAACTCAAAAGGATATTTAAAAAAAATCTGAATATCAGCAGATATGTTAGTTTATCAATACTATATAGTACAGATAGTACACATAATGGGTTCATCTCAGTTTGCTACTTTACTGACTTGTAAGGCTAAAAACCCTGTACAGTAAATGAATACATTAGTCAATAAGAGTCTGGGGCAGCAAGCCATAACATTTCCAAATAACATACACAGACAACCAGCCCAAGGGAGGAGACGGGTGTGAAGAGATCTCCAGAGCTTGTTTTTTTTTTTTGTCTCATAGGCTCTGTGCAATATTTACAGCTAGTTTCCATCTGGCCTACTTATGGACGGTGTCGGGATACACCTGACCGTGTGCGTGACACTATAGATGTCGGCACTGTCTGTGCAGACATGTGACCGTCTCAAAAGGTTAAGAGGTTTAGGATCACTCACACCTATGAAAAGATCTATTGTTTAAGTCCCTGTTGGCTCATTTATATCAATTGATTTTGTTTAAATGTTCTGCTCTGGCTTAGATATTTAGACAAAAATCAATTGAAAATCGACAGGATTACAGCGTTTAGCGCATTACTGAAATGAAGCCCACATTGCTGGGTATTTCCAGCTTCATCTACACGGATACACGTCGCAATACAGATGTTTGAAAACAACGCAGTGCAATCGATCGATAATAATTGGATCGATTCGCGATTAAGAGAATGAATATCTCTCTTGCATAGTTATTTATTCTCATAGAAGCATCTGAGAACTGGTTCTTTCAGGGCTGTTTACAATAATGTTAATAACAGTAATATGCAATATTGTAAGAAAAGGAATGCGTATGTGTCCTCCAGGACGACAAGCTGACAGTGACTCAGGCGGGATCAGTAAGTGGAGCGCCCCCAGTCCTGCACTTCCAGTACCAGTTGAGCGAGCGTCGAATCTCCAGCTGGGACACGGTTCTTTCAGACGATGCCCTCTACCTGGAAATCCCCGCCGGAGCTCTCCACAATGGCAGCAAAGAAGGGTACGTTGGGTTAATAATCTGTCTATATTGAAGCGGTCTGTCTCTACATGGTCCGGCTTTAACTGACATTTTAAGGTCACGGTAGAACAAACGGCTGGTTTAATTTTAGTCAAAAGCCGCTCGAGTTGGTTTTCCGTGTGGTGTTTCATCACTGGTATGAGGTTGTGAAAGATGAAGCCGTTTTCGATGAAAGTTCTTCCAGTCATTTCTCATTTCACTGGTCTTGTCCAGTCATGTGCTGTCTCTGAGGTCACTGCAGGCATTAGAACAGAGTGTTTTACCTTCAACGAGCAGGTGGTGGACTGTCAGAAAGCATTAACTTTGTGTGTGTGTTCTGACTGAAGTTGTTCAGTGGCGGCTAGTACATCTGCATTATTACATAAGATTTACATTATGTAAAAGCAGCAGTGCGTCACCATCTCTCTCTCTCTGTCATTACTCTGCAGTTTCACCAGGCTTCTGGAGTTTGCAGAGGAGCAGTTGAAAGTCAGCTATGTGTTCCTGTGGCTTCACAAAAACAGAGACGACCGATGTAAGATACATTTAAACAAATATAATGATATCAATTCTGTCATCATTTACTCACCCTCATATGGTACCCAAACTAGCATGAGTGACTTGCTTTCTTCTGTGGATAATAGAAACTGAGGCTACAACCACATTAATCCGGATACATTTTAAATCTGTATCTTAAAAAAAAAAATTCTTTGTTTTGGACTTTCGCCCACACTGAGATTGAATTTTATCTGGTACAAGTTTTGTCTTTTTGAATACACTCACCCAAGTGGATACATTTGGAAACAGTGTTTTCATGTTGTAGTGTGAAGTGTTTAGTCACGCATATTGTACCCATATACTCTATATCTATAGATGTATTGGTATTGTTGTGCCTGCTATTCACTTACATAGTGTTGCTAAAGATATTTGTTACTTCACACAATCTTCATATCACATAGCTGCAAAGATGACAATATTCACCCGCAGTTGCTGTCCTGTGGCAAAACATGAGTGCAACTGTGTTTTATACCATACATCAAATACTGATTTTGAGAGACCTTGACACACCAGTAAGTGGTAGGAAATTTTGCTAATAAATGATCATTCCAGAAGAATAGCGCGAGAATATTATGTCTTATCTCTCAGTGAGCTTCTTTTTTTTTTTTTTAAGACTAGGGCTGTCAAACGATTAATCGCGATTAATCGCATCCAAAATAAAAGTTTGTGTTTACATAATATATGTGTGTGTACTGTGTATAATTATTTTTAATACATAAATACCCACACATGCATGTGTATTTAAGAAATATTTGCATGTATATACTGTATATAGACTGAATGTAGCCGATATATAATGTATATTTTATATAAATATAAACATTTTATATATAAATAACATATTGTTCTTAAATATATACATGTGTCCATTTATATACAAAATAATTATAAACAGTACACACACATATATTATGTAAACACAAACTTTTATTTTGGATGCGATTAATCGCGATTAATCGTTTGACAGCCCTAGTTAAGACATATCAAAACCATACAACACATATGAACCAACATCTATTCACTCACACACACATACTTTCCACAACATCCTCCTTGTTTATTCAGTGTCACTTATCCAACAAAAATGTTTGAAAAAAAAAAAGGGTTTATCTCAGTGAGCTTTAATGGCGTTTTTCACATGCGCAGCAAGGGGATTTAAACATTTTCAGATTTTTCAGTGTGGACAAGCAACTTTTGGAAAACACTTAAAGCTAGTGTGGAGGGAGTGTGTTTTGAAATGAAAATGCCATTTTCAATATCCGGATTCATTGTAGACGTAGCCTGAGGTTGTCGGACTCCAAAAATATTGCTTATGCATATGACTTGTGCACTGTTATGCTTTTTTTTGGAGCTTGACGTTATGATTTGTGTACAATCTGCAAAAAAGAAAGAAAGAAAGAAAGAAAGTCATATGGGTTTGCAACAACATGCAACATGAGTAAATTATAACACAACCTGTTTTTTTAACTGGATAATGAATCAAATACTTGCCATAATTCAGTAAATGAGGAACTGTCTTTGTCTCCACTTGTGCAGTGTCCATCATGAAGACCTTCCACTACATGGGTTTTGAAGTGGTGAAACCGGGTCACCCGCTGGTGCCGGCCCGGCCCGATCTTCTCTTTATGGTCTATTCCATAGACAGCAGCAGTTCTGATGAAGAGTGACCATCACACTCTTAAAATGCCCCCACCCCTCTTGCTCCCCCGTCTCTGTTCCCCCTTTATACCTCTGCATCAAAATGACTTTTAGGACAGGGGAAGGGGCAAAGCTGGGCCATCTAACACTCTGATTGGTTCAGTTTCTCTTATTAACCCAACAATCGATTCTGATTGGTCGTTCCATCAGTAGGAGGTGGCTTGGTGCTAAAGCAGAAATCCAGCATATCCTCTCTGTTAATCATCATATATCAAACTGTCTATACTGTTGTGTACTCTTATGTATGGAGCATTCAGATACAGATCGCAGACGTGGTGGTAGTGATACTTTTTACAGAAGGGAATGCATTTGTAATTGATTGTAAACCGTTTCCAGTGGCTGATGGTGGTGAAATCAGGAATTTATTTGTTTATTCCAGTTTTGACACTCTTCTTTAGGAGTTTCAGCTGTAACTTTCACTAGTTCACCGTACTCAGAGGAAGCAAGCCGAAAAGCTCTCGGTAGCTAGGACTCGACTCACTTCAACAGCACAATTAGATCTTAAAGCACTTGCTAGGATTTATGCTGCGTTCCATACAACTTTCCACCTTCGTACTTCGAGAAGTGGTATAGAACGCGCTTGAAGTTGGACTTTTAGCTTGGAAAATTCTATGGAGATTGTGACTTCAGTCTATAACATCACAGATGGCACCTGAGAAGTGCACAGACAACGCTAAACATTTACTTTTACGCAAATAAAACGCATCGATACGTCAGTTTCCGAATAATATTACCAATAAAACCAAGAAACGTTGCAGTGACGTGGAAAACGCATGAAATGACCCTCACTGTTGATGATCACGCATCTACAACATGAAAGCTAGCATTGCAGATTACCATTTTGTTTTTGTGTCGTCAGAATGTCATGCTTTATTTTTGAAATATCTCGCATTAAACATGGGATGGAACGCAGCATTCTACAGTGTATCATTCCAGACCCCAACAATGCACTTGAGTGTAAGTTTAGTTGACATTTTTCTCAGTCTGGTTTTGAGGTTTGCTTTTCACAGATTCTTTGAGTAGAAGTTGTTCAATCAGGTCTGTTGCTTTTATTTCTTTTAAAATGAAGCCAGACCTGAAAACTTCTAGACGCATGAGCATGTTTGTGATGAAATCATTCTAGTTTTAAGGTCCTGGTGTCCTCATTTTTATTTAGGGAGATGCATAGACCAGAGGTCTTCTACATGAGTCTTACCATAGTCTATCACACCTTTTGTCTTCACCATCCCAAACCCACAGGAACAAGAGAGCAAACCAACCCCACCCTCTGCCCCTCAGGGGCGTTACACAAGCACTTTAGGAAAACACAAGCGATTCAGCCCACGGAGCATTGCACATCCATTACAGGGAGATGTACTTTGAGCCGTCAAGATGTCTTGCAGTGTTTAGTGAACTTGACATACTTGCCAAAGATTATGGTCTCCATTCAAAGCGAAAGCCTCAAGTTTTCTTCATATAAGACTGGTGGACATACCATAGCAGCACCTTTAGATCGCAGGCTCGGTCCCGGCCTAGTCAGGTAAAACATGCAAAAACATTCCCTGGAGCGGAAGCCTCCGTTTCTTTGATTCTTGGTCATCTCTGGAAATTTGGTGCAATGAATTCAGTTCTGTATACTTCTCAGCAGGGTGGCCTTTAGGTTTTGCATGTGTAATAGACCTTACCTTTCCTCATGGGCTGTGACAATAAGCTTTTAGAAAATGTTTTTTGTTCATCCACTTAAATTGAATTTTTGATCTATATGATTTTATTTTGTCTATATTGATTGATTTTTTTTTTTTTTTGTAGTGTAGAAATTAGAGTAAATCAGATATCATTTATTGACAATCTACACTTGTATACCTTGAACTTTTTCCTTATGTCCAAATAAAACACGTGACAAAACCAAACTTCATGACTTGCCTGTTTTGTTTTTTTTCTTCCCACAAATAAAATCAATTGGACTATTCTAGGATTCCTTGTGTGAACTGAAAGGAGACATACAATTAATGGATGTTGAATAATGCAAGTAAATGTTTGCCAAGGACAACATGTGAACTAGACTAAAGTAAATGTGATAAATGTGCTTACCCTTTTGGATCTTCTAAGGAAAATGGTTCTTGCAAGTTGTTCTTCAAAAAAACCAACCAATAATATTGAATCTATTAAGTATATTTATCATAATTAAGATTTAATTGTTAATGATGATAGAACAATTTAGTTGATGAGAAATAGTCATTCTGTCATGTCATTCTCAGCTGTCAGGCTTCTAAAACAAAAATACATTTCCCATCATTCTCTGTGGCAAGACAAAAATAAAATACATAGAGCATAAACAACACATCAAATATGCATGGCAAAACAAATTAGTCATTGTAAAACGTCCATGTTCAAGACTGCATTTTATGAAAAATAACCATAATAAATTGCTTAACTGCAATTGTTTCTTGTTTTGACATATTTCCTATTTATTCAATTTTACCAGACAATGAATACTGGCCTTGTTTCATAGACAGGGCTCAGATTAAGCCAGGATTTGACCTTAGGTCAATTAGGACATTTAAGTATCTTTTAAAAATAAAAGTCCCTTTAAAAAAACATTACCGTGTGCATCTTGAGACAAAACAATGACAGATTTTAATGTCAGTGCAAGTTACTTTCAGTTGAAACAGCTCAAACATGCATGTTAGTCTGATACTAGCTTAAACCTTGTCTGTGAAACCGGGGTATATATATATATATAAAATCCAAGCTTTAGATTGTCAAAGTTTAGGAATATACAACACAAATGGTAATAAACTAACAAACCTCTAAATATTTGCTTGGTTATTTCTCAACCTCACTTGAATTTGTTCCTGATCATCAGACATCAGTCATGACATCATCAGTCTGAACCCAATTTCCTTTGAGGGACCTTCAGAAACAGAAAGACATCTTTTACTGTCTATGAGAAAGACAAGCTGAACTGAAGAGTCTGTCGCTATGAACAGAGCCGCGAGCCAGACGCACTTAACGATCCGTGCTGGGTTACATTACATCACAATAATCTCGTCCATTAAAATTACCTAAATTCTCTCAGCGTGTGACACGTTAACATTTCTATGTTGCCGGGTTACTCTGCGAGCTTGTCGGTGTGTTCAGGTCTGACCTCTGAAACAGTAGCTAATCCATTCGCGCGCTTATGCAACACGTGCCTAATTTTCCGACACTTCTTAGAAAGCCCACAAAATTCGTCGTCGAGTCAGTCAAGAGACTACATTAAGCCTTAGAAGAACAGAATGATGTAAGAACATTGTGCTTTGTACATTTTTCATCTTCAAGGTTGACAAAGTTTAAATCCCGCCTGGCTAGAGCTCTTCATGTTTAGGCATTAAGTCAGTAGGTGGAGATAAGTGTCTTTTGTGGCTGTTTGAACACATTCGACCACATGAGCGTTTACACTACGAAAGCAATCCGGTCAAATGTGTTTTTGACTACCTAGTGGTCTAAACTGGACAAAACGTTTTGTAAACCCCGTTTACACCTGTATTTAACGTCATCCATTTGTGATCCGATCGACCAAAACGCATCTTAATATCAGGTGTAAACAGGTCCTATGGCATTTTATGTTTACAATAGTACATGTTTTGTAAAGGTTATCTGGGCAAATACTTATAGTCTCAGCCCACACCAACCTGAAAACTCTTGGGTTACACAACACTTACATTAGAGGCATACATGTTCAGATTAACGCTTTTACATTAATAATCTACTATTTTACATACACCACCAGCTGTGGGACGGTAAGTGAGGAAACCTCTAGAATTACATAACTAGACACATTAGATTATCAGAAACAAAACAACCCAGTTCAACTTTTCATTTTGTGTTTAATAAAGAAAATGACAGATGAACAGACAGAGCAATATGAATTTCTTTAGGAATCCCGGCGGGCTTTTGAATTTTAATAGAAAACAAGTGCAGGTGTTTTATTTGTCTTTCTCCTTCTGTTCTTTCTCTTTCTTGTCCTTCTCCGCTTTGGCCTCTTCAGCCTCGTGTTTCTTGATGAGTTCTTCCACTTCCTCCTGCTTGAGGACTTTGATTCTGGTCTTGCCGTTCTCTCGTGTCAGTGTGGCGATCTCCACTGCAAAGATCGGCAGAAAAAATGAGGGAACATAATCAGATGTTTTTCCATGAAATCTACCGAACCAACATCTTTAAAGTGACAGTTTCACCCTAAAATGAAAAGTCTGTCATCATTTACACACCCTTGTTCCAAACCTGTATGAATTTGTTTCTTCCGCTGAACACAAAAGAAGATATTTTGAAGAATGTCGGTAACCAAACAGTTGATGGACCCCGTTTAATTACCAACATTCTTCAAAATATCTTCTTTTGTGTTCAGCAGTAGAAACAAAATCATACAGGTTTGGAACAAGGGTGAGTAAATTATGACAGAATTTTCAACTATCCCTTTAAGAGTTTTATAGATTAAAACATTTAGTATCTGAATAGTCATTTAATTAGCAACAGCTTTTGGGGGTCATATACATTGGTATTGTAAGCCCATTTATGCTTCAATGTAAAAAAAATAAAGAAAGAATTTTGAGATATTTAAAACAATTTTAAATAATGCATTTAAAAAGTAAAATGAAAAAAAGATTTTAGTAAAAAAAAGAAAAGATTTCTTATTCATGCACTTAAAAAAGAAATGAATAGGTAATTGCGACTTCATATGTCACGCTATGTTTTATTGTTAAGAAGAGTGTGTTGTTGCATGACAGTTTTGACACAGTGTTTGTTACTGTAGTTCGGCACGTGAGCAGCTGCATTAGCTGAGAGCTCAGATGGATTGTGGGTCTGTATATTGTTACATGATCATTCATAATGCAGAAGTCTGCTCCCCGCCAGACCGCCTAAATCTACCAGCCTCGTCTGCACGCTAAATCATTTATTCCATCTCCGTCTTGCTAAACACACACACACACACACACCTTTCTCTGCTGAGAGCTTGCTGACGTCCATGGTCTTGTTCAGCACTTTGACGGCGAGAGCGAGTGCAGCAGGCAGAGTCATCTCTCCCTCTTTATAGTCCTGCTTCAGCATCGACACAGATGCCTACAACACACACACACAAACACACATTCATCTCTGAACTGACATCATTAGTGTTCTTTTGTGATAACAGAACAGAAGTCTCGAATGGAGGACAGCGTGTCGTTGCCATCTACTGGCGGAATCACGATATTATTAGTTGATTTGACATGGAATTAATAAAAACTGGTTCTTTTTAAAGAATCAAACTGATTCATGAAGCATTCATAAATCATTTAACTTTAAGAGGAACGTGCCACCCAACCCCAAACAAACTAAATTATATTTGACACAATCTGCATGAATAAACATGAATACAGAAATCATTCTAATATGATATGTATCGACACTACACGACCATCATATTTCTAAGATTCTATAAATATAATTAAATGCAAACATATAGATCATATTACATTTCTTTCACATTATCAATGTTGAAAAAACTTGCGTTGCCCAATATTTTTGTGGAAACTAGCCATTTTTTCAGCATTCTTTGATGAATAGAAAGTTCAAAAGAGCAGCATTTATTTGAAATAGAAATCTTTTGTTACATTATAAATGTCCTTTCTGTCACTTTGTGAGAACAGAACTCTGTGGACGTATATTCAGTGTCAGCCTAGTGACTATTTTTGAAATGATTCATTAAACCAAACGATTCAAATGAACTGAATCACTGATTCTTTCTAGCACTAGTTGGACAGTTTAAGCGCGTCACATGTTCAAACAGGACGATGCAGCATCCAGCATAAGAATCAGACCGTGTGTGTTTCACTCACTGCGCTGTTGTTCCCGATGCACGTGGCTTTCCAGCCTCCATAGTTTCCGCTGGGGTCACTCTGATAGAGCTGGAATCCGTAGTGTTTGTCCCATCCCATATACAGCAGAGACACACCGAAGGGTCTTTTACCTGATAAAACAAACATACAGTTTTTATTTAGCAGCCCAAAACTTCCCCCGGATCAAGTTAGGAACCGATTAATAATGTGCAACGGTTTTGATTTAGCTGTCGTACCTCCAAACTGTGTGTAGGCCTGTTTGATGTCACACAGGGCAGTGACCAGCTGCTCACAGGGGATTGGCTCCTGATACTGCAGGAGGTACCTGGACACACATGATCACATACAATATGAATCCTGAGATTCTCATATGTATTGTCTTATAACTACACAACGCAGTCTTAACCAGGAGTCAGAATGATGCTTCACACACTCACCTCTGTGCGATGAGTCTCAGCTCGTTCGTGAGGACGTTGGCATCTGACGTGATCCCCGCCACACTGCATGCCATGTCTCTGCGTTACAGAATCAACACACACCAGTGTTGTTATTGTAATCTAACACTACCAAAAATCATTTTCAGCAATCAAAATAAAGCGGAAATAAATTAAAATATAAATGTTAGTTTAAAACTTAAATTTAAAAGCAAAATAAAATAAGCATAAATAAGTTTAAGTACTAAAATTACGTAAACTAACACTTAAAATAATAAAGCTGAAAAGAAATATGTAAAAAAGCACATAAAATTACTAAATAAAACCTAAATTAAAAATACCTTAACTAATTACCTAAATAATAACAATTAGCTAAATAAAAAAGACAACAAATTTAAATTTACTTTGATAACTACCTGAAATATGAATGATTTAATTAAGTACTAAAATTACTAAAACCTAAAAATAAAGCTAAATAGAAATAGAAAAAAAAAAAAATGAGCACATAAACAAATTACTAAAACTTAAATTAAACTAAAAAAAAACCTTAGCCTTGACAACTAACTGAAATAAGTTTAAGTAAAAAAATTACTAAAACTTAAATATAAAGCTAAATAGAAATACTAAAAAAAGACTGAAAATTAAAAAATTAAATTGAAAACAAACTTAAATTAGCCTTGGCAAATACCTGTAATATGTTTAAGTTTAAAGTACTAAAACTATTAAAACTTAAAAAATAAACCTAAATAGAAATATTAAAAACAAAAATGACAAAAGCAATAAAATTAATAAAACTTCAATTAAAAAAACTTAGCCTTGCCAACTAACTGAAATAAGTTTAAGTAAAAAATGACAAAAAATTAAATATAAAGCTAAATAGAAATACTAAAAAAAAGACAAAAGCGCAACAAAATGACAAAAACTTAAATTTAAATTAAATTGAAAACAAACTTAAATTAGCCTTGGCAAATACCTGTAATATGTTTAAGTTTAAAGTACTAAAACTATTAAAACTTAAAAAATAAACCTAAATAGAATATTAAAAACAAAAATGACAAAAGCAATAAAATTAATAAAATTAAAATAAGACAAAACTTAGCCTTGACAACTAACTGAAATAAGTTATAATTATTTTTAGGTAACTAAAACTTAAAAATAAAGCTAAATAGAAATATTAAAAAAGCAAAAATGTAATATTGTATAAATAATAGAAAATAGAGATTTCTCAAGCACAGAGATGTAATGAATCGAAATAGAAAAAAAATTCCTCCCATATCAGAAATATTAAAAATTCGCTTTTCAACTCCTTTTGGGAAACTCTTGCTTATGAGTTGAAAAGCATTGATAATCAAGTTATTTGTGTTCAAGTAATCGTGAGAATGATTTTAAGGCCACATAAATGTTTAACCGGAACTAATCCAATCTCATCTGAAAACACGACTCACTCGTTGAGTTTGTAGATCTTCTCGGAGAAGAAAACCTCATCCAGAAGTTTGTGGATGTTCCTCCTCTCTGCCGCCAGCAACACGCCGTCATTAGCCAGGATGCCCAGGCAGGTGCCAGCGTGACCGATGGCCTCCATGGCATATTCTACCTGATACAGGCGGCCTGCCAACAACACAACACACACACACTGAGACCACGTTTACAAGTGACATGAAATCAGCAGGTATAATAATAACACATGGTAGAAGAAATAATAAAACAATGGATATGGGGACACTCACCCTCTGGGGAGAAGATGGTCGTTCTTGAGTCATATCTTCGAGACTGTTCAATAAAATAAAAAGGAGTGTTTTTTTTATTTTAACATATTGTAAATCAATAAACTGCATTAAAAATAGATCCCCTAATAATGCAACACTTACCATAGTGCCTTTAAATAAAATAAACTCTGCAAACAGAAGGGGAAAACATGCATCATTGATCAGTAATCAATTGCACATAGAGTTTGAATGCATTTTTAATAATAATTATAATATTTATTAAATTGAATAATTCGGTGATTTGTACTGCTGTCAGAATCTAAAGCACTTAAAATGAAACAAAGTAGTAGAAAACAACAGAAAACCCGTACAAACACAACACGAGCTCACAATATACACTGAATTTATTATCATAAATGAATATAAATGAGATATTATGAAGCATAAATGTGACATTTTAAGCGGCTTTCAGTTTCTCATCTATGAATGTTTTAGCTTTAGCATTAGCACCTGCATAACAGCATGAAGCAGCAACTTTTCATTTCATTTAAATGTATCCATCGCTCTATTAATCGCACATTATCTCAGCGCCTTACACACGCACAGAGGGTTTTGGTTTGTGATGGGCATCATATATAGGATGTAAAATATAGTAACATATTATTATTTTCATACCTAATGCCTGTGCTCGCGGTGCCTGTTCACTGTTGCGGCTCCGACTCCGCTAAAGATTTTCACTGCAGCGAGAAGCGCGTCCACTCTGGATTCACTTCCTTGCTGGGTCACGTGTGTTACGTGAAGCTCTCTGATTGGTTCCCTTGCTTCAGTTAGCGCAGAGCCTGAGTTAGCGGTTTAGTTTGATTTTTCATGTTATTAAACGTCATTTAAAAATGGACTTGTAACGAACAAACGCTAATTTTAAATACTTTTCAAAGGCCTTTCATGTATATACTTCATTCCTTATCATAAGAAAATTCCTCATAATATATTATTTGAATAAAACGATGATATTCTAAGCAGAGTAAACTAAACAGACAATTTAAATTGTGGCTAAAAATTATGTACATAATTTTCCTGAAAAATATAAATGATCATTTACATTGTAGACATGCATTCACTAATAGACACGGAGTCTGTTAGACAAATTAAACTAGTGAAAGTGTGAAATGTATTTTTATTTTATTTTGTGTTCACCGGGCCAAAAGTGCCACTTAATCACTGAAACACGTCATATTATAGCATATTTCCCAGGTGCTTTGTGCTGACGAGAGTGGCCAAACTAGATTGAATATGCTCTACATCTAAAAGAAATGACTTATTTCCACAGCGCCCCCAGAGTAAGGGAGGCTACATTACCATGCATTTATATCAATGTACAAATTATGAATATTTTAAAGAATATAAAAAAATTCCTAAATGCATATCAAGTGAAATGTCTCAGAGGGTGACAACCTATTGTATTATAAATGCAGAAAAGACAATCTCAGCATGCTGATGTCATTATTTATTAAAAATTATTTACAATAACAGCATCATCCAAGAAAAGTGTTTTTTTTTACTGCATCATTCACCCCTGTGCTGAGGAGTTGCATCCTGTCTATACATACAGAACACAAGGACTGAAGCCAAACAGCACTGTGACGGAACCAAAAACCAGTCATCGCTCGCTCTATAACGTGAGCTCAGATTAATATATATCTTATGATGTTTATGGCTCCATCAGATGTCATTAAAAAGCAACTTCTTTAATGTTTTAGTCATTATTGTCACTCACAATCCCAGTAAAAGACGACACTAAATGGACGATCATAATAAATAAACTGATATTTTACTGGATCGGATCAAAACGAAGAGTGCTTTTTGTTGTTGACGGAAATATGTGGACGTTCATACAGAAACAAAAGCTGGGAAATGAAGAAACAACAGTGGGCTGGAAAGCTTTGAATGTGTGGACACTTACACTCCATCAAAGTGGCCGTGTCAAAATCAGCACCATGAAACAAGAGCGAAGCCTCCATTGGCTGTGAGGTCATCGCGCAGTCTTTACGTCAGTTTAGAAGAACAGTTCCTTGACACGTGTCGCAGGCACTGCAATCTCAAATGCCCAAATCAAACCTACCAAAGTTTACGCTCCACATCTAGACACAAAAAAACGCCTCGTCGCGCCTGGGTGTGGAGAGAATGATTTGGAGAGAAACGTTGGACATTTGTTGCTTTAAGTGCAAAATAATGACATCCCCCGAGACGGGAGGATTCTGTAAAACAAGAGGCACAGCGTTCAGAGTTCATAAGACCTCCTGAAGGCCTCTGGGTGGCGCTGTGCTGATCAGAGGTCCACCGGTGAGTCTGATTGTGTTACAGCAGCAGAGAACGAGCTACGTACTTCAGGACGCCTCCGTGTCGGAAAAATGCCACGTCCATGTCGTTCTCGAAAAGAGCCATTACACTGAACGTCTTCCCAGTGCTCGTCTGGAAACAAACGCACACAAAAACATTAGATGTCACATGGACAAAATACAAGTATTCAAAGGCAAATTGCAGCTTAAGAGTAGGACAAATTTCGATTCAAAAGCTCTCGGTACAATTCGATTATATTTTACTAAATAATGGATATTTTGCTTACATATAAAAATATTCTCTCTTAGCTTATGCTATAAATTACATGTGAAACATCTAGCACAAATATTCATTCTAATAATAACAGCATTAATAACAGAAAGTCCCAAATGATGCAACTCTAGAGCTATTCATTTAATAGAGTTAGTATTGATTCATTTAAAAGGACGTCTTTTGTTTGGCCTACACTAGTTGTGCTGCTTGTTTTTGATTTACTAAAAGGAACCAGTTCATAAGAGTCAGATGTTTGTGAATCTAACTACGCTGATTGTGCGGTTTGATTCTGATTCACTAAAATAACCGGTTTATAAGAGTCAAGATTCATCCGTTTGGAAATCTGATTACAGTGCCAGTTCTGTCTGTTTTTGATTTACTAAAAAAAGAAAAATCAAGTAATAGAGTCAAATAGAGTCATTTGATAATGAATCGGACTACACCGGTTGTGCTGCCTGCTTTTGATTCACTATAAAGAACTGGTTTATAAGAGTCATTTGGTCATGAATTGGACTACACTGGTTGCACTGTACGTTTTTGATTCACTACAAAGAATGGGTTCATAAGAGTCATATGTTTGTGAATCAGACTTGTTTGGAACTGCTAAAGAGAAGTGATGTTTTGTCTGCTGCGAGTCGCTCTACCTGTACTGTGAGCTGATGTCGGGGCGTGAGCTCCTGTGGGATGTTAATGGTGAATCGCTCTTTTCCACACAGCTCAAGCGAGTCGGCATTCTGTCCTGGCAGGAACTGCAGCGGAGCGATTCCCATCCCTACCAAATGATTCTTATGAATCTTCTCGAAGCTCTCAGCTATCACTGCACGCACCCCCTGAGACACACACAGTCAAGACAGTCAGTAAGATCAGTGTTTATGGTGAACAAATCACAGGAAATACTGAAGTAGCACAAAAGTCAACTCATCGGGAAGAGGATTATGGGTACAGTACCAGTAAATAAGGTCCTTTGGCGGCCCAGTCGCGTGAGCTGCCGGAGCCGTACTCTTTTCCTGCCAGGATGATGAGGGGAACTCCATCTCTCTGATAGCGTTCAGCAGCTTCAAACACATCCAGCTGTGATGGGACAACATAAATCAAACCACATGTTCAGAGTCAGAAGGAATCCTATTCAAACCGGTTCAGTCTGGACACTTACCGTTTGTCCTGATGGAATGTGCAGTGTTTTGGGTCCGGTCTTCCCGATGAGACGGTTTTGAAGCTTTATGCTGGCAAATGTTCCTCGAGTCATCACGGCATCATTTCCTCTCCGTGCGCCATAAGAATTGAACTCACGAGGGGTCAAACTGAGTCAAACATATAAAAGGAACTGAACTTAGTTTCTCATCATCTTTATATCATAATATTTTACATAATATTTATCAACATAGTAATAAAAAGCAGTTTTACTACAAAAATGTAATGTAAGCAGGAGTTCTGGGAACACTGACCAATGAAACGAATTGCTCAAATTAACCAATTCACTATAATGAATCTGACTATTTATCGCAGTAACACTCACTCACAGAGTCTAAAATGATTTTAAGGAAAAATATATGAAGCATATTGAAAAGAAACAAAAAAAAACAAAGAAAAACTCATCTTACCGTTTGCTCTGCAGGTATTTGGCCGCAGCACTGACTCTTGCGATGCTTCCCGCTGGAGAAATGTGATCGGTAGTTACTTTATCACCCAGAAAGAGGAGCGGGTACGCATTGTCAATGGACTGAGGAGCGCACACCTCTTTAGTCTGAGACGAAGAGAAATTATTGTTGAAATACAGTGAAAATGTGATGCTTGGGGGAAAGCCGCATCTGAATGGCACCAGTGTTGTTATTGTTAACTAAAATTATTTAAAAAAATAAAATATAAGTATAAGATGAAAAACCTAAACTTAAAAAACTTACGAAAATGAGAAATACTAGCTTAGCAACTAACTAAAGTAAAATAAGTTTAAGTACTAAAACTTATTTTTAAACCGAAATAAAAGATAAATGAAAACTAAATAAACATAAAAACAAAAACTAATGAAAATGACAAAAGTACATAAAATTACTAAAATTGAAATGAAAACTGAAAATCCGAAATATTAACAATTTACTATAATAGTATACAAATAATCCTAAAATAACACTGGATGACACTCACCAGTTTGCTGAAGAAGGACGGACAGCGGATGTAGGTGGATTTGGGATCCCATGGGAAGAAGGCAGTTTCGGCAGAGTCCAAACTGTTCCAGAACGTACTTCCTTTCTGCAGACAATCACACAAATCAGCTAATATTAACATACAATTCTAATGATTCAGTGAATCAATCAATTCAAATGAATCCTTTTGTTATATCTTCTGAAGAAAATGTGCTATGAAACTCCTCGCACCTCCATCCGGTTCTTCAGCTCTTTGAACATGGAGGCGATGACGATGTTCTCCTCTGTGTGGTTCACCTCCTCTTTGGATGGCCAGACATCCCGCAGATACACGTCCTTCCCCTCAGAGTTCACTCCTAGCGGTTCTGTCTCCAGGTTGATGCTGACTGTGCCTGCGATCGCATACGCCACCACCAGCGGGGGTGAGGCCAAATAATTCGCCCGAACGCAGTCACACAGGCGTCCTTCTAGATGCCTGTTCCCAGACAGAACGCCACACGCCACCAAATCACCCTGCACACGAGCAAACAGCTTAGATTAAGATGCAGATGTTCAGATAGAAAGAGACTAAATGAGAGTTCGGTCTCACCTGTTTAATGGCCTCTACCACATTCTCAGGTAAAGGTGCTGTGTTCCCCACACACGTTGCACATCCATAACCCGCCACCTCAAACCTGAAACCCATGATCGAAAAACATGCAGAGGTCATTATTTAGACAATTGTTAGTGTTTATGTGAAACAAGGCTATCATAAAGGCTATTATAATTTCACTATTTATTTTTATCATTTAATAAATTGTATTTGTTTTTATTTTATATTTTGAATAGTAATAAATGTGTTATTAAAATATTTCTATTACTCATTTTATTTATTATAAATATATTTGTAAATGTCAGTGGTATTTTTTGATTTAGTAATAGCTGTCGTTAATGATTTTTATTTTATTTATAAATTGTATTTATAAATAATTAATACACTTAATTTATTTTGCATATTTTTTATTTCTGTTTAATTGATAAATATTAAATATTACATAAATAAAATATATATATCATAAATAATATAATAAATATTTTAATACACATTTTTTATATATATATATAGTAGGGGTGTAACGATACACGTATTCGTATTGAACCGTTCGGTTACGAGGCTTTCGGTTCGGTTTTCGGTACGCATTTTTGAACCGAACGGTTCGTTGGACCATTTTTCCTGCCGACCAAAATGTCGTTATTTCAAATGTAGGTGCGTCACGAGCTCATAATGTAAGATACGCTGGCGTGACCTGACACAACATTGCCCAACATCAAATGGCAAATGTAATGTAAGCGGAACGAAACCACTCGTTATTGTGAGGTTGGCGGACCGTTTATCAGTTTGGACCATAGACTGTAAAAAAATATGGACGTAGTGTCCGTGACATCACCCGTAGGTTTCTGAAGAGCGTTTTTGAAGCCTAAAGTGGGCGGGGCCAGCCGTCGCCATCTTGGCAGCGCGTCACCTCTCGTCACTACCGGATAAAATAAAATGGGCAAAGAGGCGGGACGTGGGTGGAGCTCATAGAGTGGAGCTGAGGTGCTAATGCTACTGGCCTTGCGCTAAAGTGACAGCTGATTGAAGAATAAAAGCCAATAGTTCATGTTTTTACCCTTCGAAATATTATATTAGTTAAAAGACGTAACTAAAAGTGAGACTGTATGATGTAATGTTGCTGTAAAAATGTATTATCATGCAGTTACTTACAATATTGCTCTAAACTTGTGGGTGTGACAGTGATTCATGCGCATACATTACAGTCAACATGGCATCGCACGTCAAGTTCGTAAAGAGCTTTATTCAGTCCATTTTGGCCGGCTCTCAATTTCTCAAATAGGTTAAACCAAAGATATTACCTCAGTAGTTCAAGTAAATGCACTAGAAACCCGCGCTCATTCAAGTGTGTGCATCTATTGCATGGACGGAGAGAAAGCATGACACCTGGAGGATTTTATCTGACGGTACTTTTTATTTAACACTAAAAAGTTAAACAAGCATATCTGTTCCGTAAGAGCATTAGTACCGCATAATGAGTGTGGTCTCTATATCTATAGACGTTTTTAGCAAAGAAATTGTCAGACATCCATTAACGTTGGTGCATGCGAGGAAAACAACTTACAGCGCCTCTCCATACCAGTCTGCTCCATACTTGACAACAACGGAATCCAACGGCGTGGGCGAAGGTATAATGTGTGTATTAAATTGTATGAAATAATCCCGAAAAAGCGCAAGTACAGCAGCTGCTGGAATTAGCTCAGAGTGACACTATCAGACAGCAGACAAATGGCCGCAATCCGCCTGTCACTCAAGTGGCCACGCCCTTAATTATGCAGGCTTAATATAATTTAAACGGATGAGTTGTAAAAAAATTCACCCCCCTCACAGTTGTCATGAAGGGCAAAATAAGCTATAAAGACTAAAACCACTTTTTGCTCCAGGCTGTAAACATGTTTCTTTCTGCTGTAAAGTTGGTCATTTTAACATGGGGGAGATACAGATTTGACTCACTTCTGCCTCCAGCCTCAAGCGGTCAGTAGATGAATTGCAGTTTAATTCACTTCCGTGTTGGTTTCAAGAGAGAGACAGGGAGGTTGCCGCTTGGTTTGGACCAATGCAGCGCGAACCGATCTTAATCATCAGCACTGTTACTACACAGCGAAATCCAGTAAAGAAAGCATTTGAATTCGCCAGTGAAGTAATAACATCGCTGCGAGATCTTGTAGTGAGAAACATTCGCATTTCTCCGTTATTAACGGATCAAACAGTGCTGACGTGGAAACCAGAAAGAAACATTGTGCCATGAATGAACTAATCAGTGTCCACAGATCAGCAACATTCACCATAGATTTACTGTAGTAACACTACTAACTGTAACCATGGAAGTTTGGCAGGAATAGTAGGCTATAATGCTTTCAAGTAACGTTACGTCGGTTTTATTTTGACATTATGAATACAATTGCTGCCCTCAAATGTTAATCTGAACTAATATAAACCTTTGTTTATAACTACTACAATATTACATTTCATTTTGTCCAAGGAGCTGTTTTGTTTTATAAGCTCCTAAGAAAAGTCAAGTATAGCTCCATCATTGCTCAAAGTTAAAAAATATCATACTTTATGATGTTAGTTTTAATAAAAATATAATTAAAAAAATTAAATCAAGGAAATTTCTCTGGCATTTCTTTCTTTTTGCTGTATCGGAAACGTACTGAACCGAACCGTGACACAAGTGTATCGTATCGAACCGAACCGTGAATTTTGTGAACCGTTACACCCCTAAAATGAGATATATGAAAAATTTCAGTCAGGATTCAGACCGCATCATAGCACAGAAACTGCGCTAGTTAAAATTACAAATGATTTACTTTTAGCTTCTGACCAAGGCTGTATCTCAATACTAGTTCTACTCGATCTTAGTGCTGCGTTTGACACTATCGATCATAAAATACTCTTGGATCGACTACAAAACTACACTGGTGTTCAGGGACAGGCATTAAGCTGGTTCAGATCGTATTTATCAGACCGTTACCATTTTGTTTGTTTAAATGGGGAAAAATCGAAGATAACTTCAGTAGACTATGGAGTCCCGCAAGGATCGGTGTTAGGCCCTCTGCTATTCTCAATATATATGCTGCCACTTGGTAATATTATAAGAAAACATGGAATTAATTTCCACTGTTATGCTGATGACACTCAATTATATATTTCATCACGGCCAGATGAAAACACTAACTCATCAAAATTGACAGAGTGTCTTAAAGATATAAAATGCTGGATGACGCATAATTTCCTGCTACTAAATCCAGATAAAACCGAGGTATTACTTGTTGGTCCAAAAAACTATCCACAAAACCACTTACAATACAACTTTAATATAGAAGGATGTCCTGTTACTTTATCCTCTACGGTAAAAGACCTGGGAGTTATACTAGACCACAACTTGTCTTTCGAAAATCATATTACATATGTTACAAGAACGGCCTTTTTCCATCTTAGAAACATTGCTAAATTACGTAACATGCTATCTGTTTCCGATGCAGAAAAGTTAGTTCATGCATTCATGACCTCGAGACTAGATTACTGTAATGCTTTATTAGCCGGTTGTCCTGCATCCTCAATAAACAAGCTACAGTTAGTGCAAAATGCAGCCGCTAGAGTTCTTACTAGGTCAAGAAAATATGATCATATAACACCGATTCTATCATCTCTGCACTGGTTACCTATCAAGTTCCGTATCAATTACAAAGTACTATTACTGACCTATAAAGCCCTAAATGGTTTAGCTCCTGTGTATTTAATGGACCTTCTATCGCCCTACAATCCATCGCGTTCTTTAAGATCACTAAATTCGAGGCTTCTAGTCATTCCTAGGATATCTAAGTCCACTAAAGGAGGGAGGGCGTTCTCACACTTAGCTCCTAAACTCTGGAATAGCCTTCCTGATATTGTTCGAGGCTCAGACTCGCTGTCCCAGTTTAAAACTAGATTAAAGACGCATCTTTTTAGCCAAGCATTTACATAATGCTTACCTTTTATTATACTGCTGAATCAGATCAAATGCATTTAATACTATAAAACTTGAAGAGACTGTAGGTTATCTGTATAGGTTGCATAGTATTTGCAGTTATTACGTTCCTGTGTATATTGCGTGAATGACGGGTGGTTGGACAGATATTGTGTTGCGGTAGGTAGTATGCCATACGGAACCGTTGTCCACTGAAACTGCCTATTCACGCACCAGTGGGGCTCGACAGCCTTAGTCAACGGGTTGGCGCGTATGGTTGGGTTGCGGAGAGATTGTGAGATTGTGGTTAGGTCTCAGCAGCAGGAGGGATGTAGAGGTCAGTAAGCTGGGCTGAGTTGAGTGGGGGACGGAGGGGGGTGATTTTGGGACGCAAGAGTCACTGTCTTCATGTTTTGTCTTTTACACCTGTGTTATGGAAATCATCATTATGAACAGCAGCTACGCTAATTATTTTCCCTTTGCTTTTCTGCTGTTATCTCGGGACGCGAGTCCCGAGAAAATGGCGTTCGTCAGCTCCAGTTTGTATCCAGCCTCTCACGGAGACTTCAGATGCTCCAACCACAAAGCCTATGAAGTGACGACTCAACACGGGCGATATGGACTCTCTATGGTGGACGGCACTGATCCTCAACAACTCGTCTTAAGACCAGCGTGCATACTTGGACTTCCAAAAAAATACTCTAAATGTTCCGATCCAATCTGACTTGTAATGCTGCCCGAATCATGCACTGTTCTTCCGTTGGCCAGAGGAGAACTGGCCCCCCGACTGAGTCTGGTTTCTCCCAAGGTTTTTTTCTCCATTCTGTCACCTGATGGAGTTTTGGTTCCTTGCCACTGTTGCCTTGGATTTTGGCTTGCTTAGTTGGGGACATTTAACATTTAATATTCAATAATATTATTGATCTGCCTTACTTAAGGTGGACGTTGACGCAATTTCTTTGAGAAACAAACGTTGTTATATTGTTATATTGTTTTTGTTATATTGTTTTCATGTTATCACTGTGAAGCGCTTTGATACAATCTGTATTGTAAAAAGCGCTATATAAATAAAGGTGACTTGACTTGACTTGACTTAATATATAGCAGAGAGTGTGATTATGACATAATAATATAACATATATTTATTATATATATATATTATAGGATTAGAAGAACACAAAACAAAAAACCTAGAAAAAGCAAATTAAATAAAACGCATTGAATAAATATTTATAAATAAAAATATAAAATAAAAACAATAAATACTGAAGTTAATACAATTTATTATATATAAATAAATAATTTTTTACTACATCTTTTGTTTTAGAGATAGATTTCATTACCAATAATAACCTTGGTTTGCTCAAGTATGTGTATCTAATATTGTGTGTGTGGTGTGTACCCGAGTTTCTTGAGGAAGGGCAGGACTCCGCTGGTGTTCAGGTAATGTGTGACGGTTCCACTGCCGGGCACCAGACTGGTCCTGATGTACGGTTTTACCGTTAGACCAGCCTCGACGGCTTTCTTCGCTAGTAGACCTAAACAAAACACAGACGTACATGTGAGATGCACTAAACACTGTGCAAACAAACAGCTCATATCAGATCTACAGAGGTCTTGACGCCTGACCTGCGGCCAGCATGACGGACGGGTTGCAGTTATTGGTGCAGCTGATGATAGCAGCGATGACGACGGATCCGTGTGCCAGGTTGTACTCAGCCCCCTCGTGGAGGAACGGGACCAGAGTTGCCTGCTTGTCTTTGGATATGTGGAAGCCCTTAAAACCCACCTACACATACAAGGACAGCACAAAAACAAACCCAGCTAGCAACTTGGTACCATTACTTAATTGACAAATACTTTGTGTGTGCTAATATGGGCATTCACCTTTTCATTCAGGCAGTTAATAAAGTCTTCCTTCATGCAAGTCACGGCGACTCTATCCTGTGGCCGTTTGGGTCCGCTGACATGAGGCACAATGGAGCTCAGGTTCATCTCGATGACCTACGACACCAACCACATCACATTTGTTAACAACTGACCTATGAAGTTTAATGGGGGATATACTCTGGATTTTTATATTGGTCTTTGGTTTAAGGTTCCTCAATAATTTACACTACCTTTCAAAAGTTTTGAGATTTCTTTTAATCAGCAAGGATGCATTTAATTGATCAAAAGTGACAAATGTTCATGAAAAAATAAATGAACCAACCTCTGAATACTGCGGCTCTTCTGATTGTTCATCGTAGGTTCTGAAGAGTTTGATAGCCTTTAGGTAGTCTTCTAAAACCACAAGCTTCTCCTCACTGCAGACTGATCAGAAAAACATGTGTGCGTCAAATTACACCCTCAACATCACTTTAGTCTTTTTAGTCTTAGGTACAAAGAGCAGTCCCTACTGGTGTGTTTAAAGTGCTGCAGGGTGATGTCATCCACAGGAAAGAAGCTCACGGTGGCGCTGTACTCCGGGCACATGTTAGCGATAGTGGTCCGATCGGGAGCCGAGAGCTGCGGTACACCAGGCCCAAAGAACTCCACAAACTTCCCATCGATTCCTGCATGACGCAGATGCTGAAACACAAAGATCAGACAGTGAATGATATGTTATTTCTTCAGATGCAAACTCACTGCAGATGTGATACATTAAGGACACAGGACCTCGCTGTACCTTTGTAATGCCCAGTACGATATCAATGGACGTTGCAAGAGGACTGATGGTCCCCACGAGTTTACAGCCGACAACCTGTGGCAAAGTTAAAGACACTGGCTGACCTAACATGACCGCCTCTGATTCAATACCTCCAACTCCTGAAAGAGAGCATAAGAGAGAGACATCGTGAGGAAAAACAAAACAGAAGATTTAACTAATAATAACAGTAACTAGTGACATCGTGCTCACCCCAGCCCAGGATCCCGAGGCCGTTGATCATGGTGGTGTGGGAGTCCGTTCCCACCACGCTGTCTGGATAAATAAACCCCTCGCTTTCCTGTACCACCTGACACAGGTACTCTAGGTTCACCTGATGCACTGTGTTGATGTCTGGAGGAACCACGTTGATGTTTTTGAAGGCTTTTGAACACCACTGGAGAGAGAGAACAGTCACAAACTCAAGACTTACGCTACTGTTCAAAGGTCTTTTTAATGTTTTTACAAGAAGTCTCATATGCTCACCAAGGCTGCATTTATTTGATCAAAAACAGTAATATTGTGAACTATTATTACAATCAGGGTTCGTACAGACTCTGTCAAATGAAATTCCAGGACTTTCAAGAACTTTTCAAGCACTACTTTTTTGCATTTCAAGGACTTCAATCGGCACTTATCAAACAATATCTTGATTTTTTTTTTTTTACTTATTGATGTTTCAATTTAGAGAGGTGAATCCATTGACCAGCGCAGTCAGGCATGGGAAATCGCCTTAACCATTGAAAGGATATTAAAACTGATTTTTCCCCCCATTGATATATATGATTGACCTGAAGAATGAAAGTTGTATTATAAAATTATCATATACTTAATATCATGCTCATAGCCATGAGAAATAGCTCTATATCTCAACGGGCTGCAGCGTTGATTTAGCGTGAAACAATTGTATTTTTTCAACAACAAAAAAAAAAAATCACAATATTTTGAATTAGGGATGGACCGATACCACTTTTTGCAGAACGAGATTCCGATACTGTAACCGATCCCTGAATTTTAACTGCATTTGTAATTTTTAAATGTATTAGTAATAATCATATTAGTTGGCTTAATTTGTTCATCAAATATATATTTCTTTCAATTATTTGCATGCTTAATTAAGCCTGCTAAAATGCATTGTATGAGCTTTTGTTACTGTACATTCTATTGCTCTATCATATTTTATATTTCATTGAATAGCACAGCACATATTTATACTAGAGCAGCTCCAGAAATGTCAGTGCTGAGAATTGGGTCAGTGGTACAAATGTTTAGACACCAGTGAAATATAAATTATTTAATCCAATTTTGATACTACAACAAAAACTGCCAGCCTAATTAATGTGAATTTAAAACATTATTAAAAGGTAAGCAGTCAGCAACAAAATAAGAACGAATAATCAACTTACAAATAAATACAATAGAACAAAGAAAGGCTACAAATTACTGGATAAATTAAATATAGATGGATCTTTTGAAAGTTGAAAAGGGTAGACCTATTTAGTCAAGAGCAGTGAGTAATTTATTTGTCCATTCATTGTTTGATTAACATTTAAACAGCAGTGGGTTTATTGAAGTGCTGCCCCTTTAAGACCGAACGCACGGACCCCATGGCTACGTTCACTTGATATACCTGACTTTGTTTACTAGGACACTCGCAAATATGGGCATTTTTACATAATTTTGTGTGAATTCCTCCGCACAAGCGCAAGACGTGAAAGACAATTCAATTCCGTATTTGCTGCTCATGAAACTTTTCTTATTATTATCCCAAATGTTGAAAACAGCGATGCGAATGGCATGTAATGTTGTCTTTGTGTAGATATAAATCACAGAGAGCTCTGAAAACTCACCTTAAAGAACTCCAATCTCTCTTTGTTTCTGGTTAGCTCCATCTCTTGATTCCTGATCATAGTTTCAGGCCTGTGTGCATCAGACAGATATCAGCACATCAGAGAAAGCAAACAGAGTAATGTGAGAGCGTGTAATAGTATGGACTTGTTATTCAATGTATCGTATTCCTATATGATGTAAGGTATACCCTATCTTATTGGTTAACTCTGTGATACTCCCCTCATATTTTTGCTATATCTTCTGAGACAAAGATGCTAATAAACTTGAGAGATACTTTTCTCCCTCAGCGCTGAGTTCATTGTTCATTCAAATGCTAATTGCTAGAAGGACTGGAATGAGGCACATGGAACCTTAAATCTAACAGTGTGTGTGCGAGGTGTAGACGTACTCTGACACGGGCTGCAGGTGGAAGGGGCACAGGAGGGGTGTGTTCTCTATCTGTACTGCTGCGGATCTGCCACTGGGGGCGTCAGAGCAGGAGGCTTTACTGCAGCCTCCCCGATGACCCGGGCGTTGACCTGTACAGTGACTCCCTCGTGGAGATGGTCGACCGGCAGGAGATCTGACAGCGGCACCTTGACTCTCATCCACGGGGATTGAAGGGCTCTGGATGCCACTGAGAAATCAGGTAAACTGTTGTTAGTGATTTTGTCGCTTGACAGTGAAAACCTGTTGCATCTTGCCTGGTTAAGTTCATAAAATGAGACTGTTTAGTGTTTACATAAAAAAACTGAAGCACAATACATCACCATCCTAATTACTGTGTACATTGGGACGTCTGGGCATAATCATTGTTTATGTTAATGCTGTAATTATTGGTTTTTAGACATATAAATACTGTTTTAATCCTTTCTCAAGCACATGTGTTCACTCTCACCATTTGCTGTAGTCAATCTGCAGCGAATGATCTACGATGAGGTCTGTGGGGCATCTGGGGTTCACCAGGTTTGGATCAACCCCCTGTTTAGCTAAAGCATCTCTCATGGCTGCCAGATCCACCATAGCAGGAATTCCCCTGTGAACACACACAATGGAGGCATCAGGACATATCCAACTTTATGAACAGGCCCAGTTAATATGCAGATGTTGTTAATATGGCTGTGCGATTAATCAAAATAAAGCTGAAATCGCGATATGGCTTAGTGGTATTATCAAATTGCAAAGGCTGCGACTGAATTAAATATAAGCGCTGCATGGTTTAGAGTGTAGCGCTGCACCGTGTTCTTAAACCTGGAATTTTTCTTAATCAAAATGATCATAAAAATCACACTGATTTTGTGTATCTTTTGTCTATCTTGGATGTGTTTTGGACAATGATTTAAGGGGTACAGGCGTGGCTATGAAAATTTTAGGGAAAGTTAATGCTAGGACAAAATTTCTTGCTATATGTGTTGGTTTTTTGGATAAGCAAAATTTTTAAATACTTGCATCATGTTTAGTGTTATGTCATCTAGAGTACGCATGTATTTCTTGGATGTCCGATTTGTCTCGTTTTTGGCTGGTTAAGTTACAGAAATCTCAAAATAAATTGATACGGTTGGTTTTAGGTTTTAATAGTTTTACACATGTTGATGCCTCCCATTTTAGACATCTTAAGTGGTTACCTATAGAGAGTAGAGTTGTGCACTTTAAATTAAAGATGGTACATAAGATAATTAATAAAAGAGCTCCTTCGTATCTTAATATGTGTATCTCTAGGTTAAGTGAGACACACTGTTATAATACTAGGCAGAGTTTAATGGACATTACATTATGTCGCTTTAGAACAATGTATGGTCGAAGGTCTTTTGAATACTCAGGGGCCCAGGAATGGAATAAGCTGCCTCTAGATATAAAGAGTATGTCAAATACGGTTGGTTTTAGCACGAAAGTCAGAAGTTGGTTATTGGATAAGTTGTATTAGTGACTTATTTGTATTAATGTTTGGTGGATGTCTAATTATGATGTATGATGTCTAAGTATGATGTATAGTTTGGTAATGTGTATTTTTATTGTAGTGTTGTAAATATACCAGTATGCAGTGCCATGATAATCTGTCTCTAGGAGTGAAGTTGTGCTTTACATCAAGGACCACAATGGAAATAAGTTTTTTTTAACTTTATTGTGTTATCCTTGACAAATGAGTGTATTTTTCACTACTAATTTGTCTAATAAATCAAATCCCTATTTGATAACTCACGTAAAATCCTGCAGCAGAACCCTGGCGGGAGAGAACACCACCTCGGCCTGGTTCTGCTGCGTCTGCCAGTCCAAAATATTAGAGACATCCTCTGTCTTTACATAGAACCCATCACACTTCCGAATGGCGGACTCCAGGAGAACCCGCATACAGAACGGCAGTTTCTCTACAAGAAAAAGAGCCAGTTAGTGCTTTTGCAAGACTTTACATTTTTCAAGTGATGTCAGTTGTATCTATGCATGAATTATTTAGTTAAAGACCCTAACTCACCATATCTGGCATCATCACTGAGCTTCTGTGGGTTGAAATACCTCAGCTCTTCATACTGTTCGCTCCGGAGAGTTTCGATCAAATCGCCAAACGGATGTTCTGTAGAGAATACAAGCCTTTATTGAGCATTTTGGTGAAAAACACTGAGAACGAGCTGATTAAATTTGTGCAACAGAGAAGGAAAGGAATCATGGCTTGTGTGTCTAAAACTCAATCTGATCTGGATTCGAGTTTGTCCTGCAACAACCAGACAGAATCAGACTACAGCAGACCAACACCTGCAGGGCTCATATAACTCAGAGAGAGTGTTACTGCGTCCCAATTCGCCTACTTATTATTATGCCCTAAAAGTATGAACTGTTTTTGTGAAGAAAAAGTATATACTTTTGAGTGTGCTACTTTTTGTGCAGAATAGCAGGCAAGCTTTGAGACATACTACTCCGTCATCATAATTGCTCTGTCACTTAGTTATGTGCATCCTGTCACGGTTTAAACTGCCCTGTAGATTTTAAACACTTTTTATTCGTGTTTGTAGTTCTAATCAAATCATTTGAATCATTGATCACGCAATTGGTTGTTTACCAATTGGTTGCACACTCTTAACGGCAATAGCCGTTAAGAGTGTGCATGGATCTGCCCTTTCGGATTCCAACCGAAAAAAGTAGACAATCAGGTTACCTTTGAAACACTCATTTCAACATACTATGATTTGGGACAAGAGTGTGCATGGATCTGCCCTTCGGATTCCAACCGAAAAAAAGTAGACGATCAGGTTACCTTTGAAATACTCATTTCAACATACTATGATTTGGGACACACAAATTCTAATTTCGAATACTATTTAGGATGGATATAATGTGAATTGGTACGTAGCATGCATCTTCGCTTGAACCGCCTCTGTTCATTGCCTTTCACCCCTTAACATCTTGAAGTTCCCATTAGAAGGCACAAGTGCAGCTGTTGGCAGTACTGAGAGCTTACAAGCCCAATTCGCGTTCAAATAAGGGATGCACCAAACATTCAGAAACTAAATGCTTTGAAGAAGAATCATTGAAGAAGAGAAAAGTAAAAAAGTTAAATGTTCAGCTTTGAACTGGGTTCATCTATAAAAGCATATTATGATCAAAATTCAAACACAAATCCAAATTGAGTATTTGCATTTCCTCATTGTGTTTTAAGGTTCTCATGGCTTGAAGCAATGCCCTCTTGGTTATTCAGGACATTAATAAAGTCTTTGAAACTTTTGTTAAAGAACCGTTCACCTATTTTAAAAAAAAAAAAAAAGAAAGAAAAAAAAACATGCAGTTTATTTTTGAAGGACACACACATGCTTTTATCATCCAAATCCAAAAAACTTTCCAGAGCACTGTTAGTATTTTTATCATAATAGTGTATAAAAAAAGCCATTTGCTGTGCGTTTTTGGGGTAGACTTTGTTTAGATCCAGGATTGCATTGAAAAACACATCCACTGTTGGAATAGTTGAATATATTTCTCACACACACGACAAATAACTTCCACAGACTAATCCTAATAGACACACTGAAGTGAAACAGGTTGTGTTAGAATTTCACCAGCACTGTTTGCAGTGAGATCTGTATACTGTCAGAAGACATTACAAAAACATGTCCATCATTCCTATCCATGCAGAAATAAAATGTTTGTGACGGTTCACTAAACCAAGAGAGGCCAACAACACTAAATCCTGATATAAAACACACACTAGTGCTCATGCACAGCAGTGTATTTCAGCAGTCCCAGTGTGACCGCATGTGTGGAGGAGGATGAACAAGCACAGACACACACTTATCACTCACACCCTGCGTCTGCTGCACGTGTTAGATTAGGTTAGATAAAACTGCAGCAAAGGAACACAAACTTGCATCCACCACATAATATGCATGAACACAAAAATACCCTGATCTTTATTTACGACACGGAAGATAAAGACAGACACTGGGTGTGAAAAGTAAATAACACTCTCGCTGACAGACAAGCAGATTACAGCAGGATCAGAGCACGAACACGAAGAAAGAACATGCAGTTAATCATAATTATACAACCTATACCTCTGAATGAAACAACTGCAGACCTTCTATCATTAATTTAAATATATATTATTTATTTATTGTTGGAGCTAGATGTTATTTTAGCAATGTCAGCATGATGAAGAAGTGTAATCAACTAGAAAAATATAATATTTACAACAACAAAAAATGTGTTACTCTAAAAAAGGCCCAATGTGTTTAGAATCCTAAGTTTCCAAAAAACTTCCACACAATGTAAGTTTTACAATTTGGGAGACATTTGGTTCCCACCATGGGCGTCGTGCATTAAATGCACAGCTATTTGTCAGCATTGACAACCTAAAGCCGTTATTGATGTTTGCAACGCAATATTTGACTGGAAGGGTACAACAGGCGGTTATTTCCGTCAGTTGCGGCTCGTTGAGAAATATAATGATTCAGCAGAAATGCAGTTTAATTTATTAGGGCATTCCTCAAGTGGAATGGATTTGACTGACGGCGCTCTGAAAAGCGAACAGACATACGCGCTGAATTAGAGACGGTAAAGTGAGTTTGTCCAATATCATTGGTCTTAAGTGGGTGGGTCTTGTCCCATCCATATACAATGGTTCCGACACCCATGGTTCCCACAAAGTCTATACCTGTGACTTGCTTTTCAAGACTAAGTTAATTTTAAGACAATAAGGGTTCATACATTTAGCTATTCTAACAAACCAGCTCATTTAAAGGGATAGTTCACCCAAAAATGAAAAATCTGTCATTAATTACCCGTAAGACTTTCGTTCATCTTCAGAACACAAATCAAGATCTTTTTCTATGAAATCTGAGAGCTTTCTGTCCCTCCACTGAGTCTTCGCAACTACCACTTTCAAGGCCCAGAAAGGTATTAAAGACATCATTAAAATGGTATTAACCTCCTTTGGTTTAACCTCAATTTTATGAAGCAGCAGAAGTCTTGACCAGGTCTCACTGGAAGAAGAGATAGTAATATCTCAATGTGATTTTCCTGGTTACAATAAAGGAAATAATAAGTGCTTTGTTTGCGCAAGAAAATATAATTTACCACTTTATTTACAAAATATCTCGTGTCATCACAACACACGTGAGTCATGCTCTCATGAAAGCTCGTTGGAGATTAATAATTTGTAAATAAAGCGGTAAATCATGTTTTTTACTTGTGTCGCTTCAGATTAAACCACTGAATCACATGGATTACTTTAATGATGTCTTTCCTACATTTCTGGGCCTTGAAAGTGGTAGTTGCATTGACTGTCAATGGAGGGACAGAAAGCGCTAAGATTTCAACGAAAAGATATTCATTTTTGTTCCGAAGATGAACGAAAGTCTTACGGGTTTGGATGGAACGACATGAGGGTCATTAATGACAGAATTTTCATTTTTGGGTGAACATACCCTTTAAAATACTAATTTGTCTAGAATCACATTTTTCCAAAAAGTCTCAAAGTTTAATGTTTATGAACATTTTACACCAGAAAGAACAACCTCATTAGAAGATCAAGTAATTATATAATTGTGAAGAAATAAATACAAAGAGTGTGCTTTTCCCTTACAAAAGTTGTTATCTGTGCCAGTACCAAGATATATTGCTTGTAGATCAATTAGATAATTCATAATACTTCTTCAAATCAGATATAATACACATAATGGTACTGAATAATTACCATTAATAATAATTATATTCGAATACTATGGTATAGAACAGCAAAGTAAGAACACTATGGAATTACCAGTACATGTGCAAAAAATGAAACACCAAAAAGCATGGTAGTACCATGGTAAATGTGTGTTATTGTAAACAACACATAATAATCGAGCATCGTGCATAATAAGATTGAGCATTGTTCCTATTAAGCTGCCTGGCTAGACAATATGTGTTAAACAGAAGCTGTCAAGCTGGGCATCTCATTGAGTTTTGACACACATCAGTTTTAGATCGCGTGAGCTGCATCGTGTAATCGCACGCGAGCTTGGACGTCAGTCGCTCTCTCTCGCCGCTAGCCGCAGTGCTAACGACAAAACCGACTCTTTCATCCTTTTATAACTGAATATTTGAGGACTGCTTCAACACACATTTGTGAATTCGCATATAACCGGTTACATACTTCTCTGTCAGGGCGTAAATTAGATGAATATTGTTATTTTTGTCATTTAAAACCGCACTTACCGTTCTGAGGTGAACCCAGCGCCATGATGAGTCCTAATATTAACACGACTCCACTCGCTCGAGCCACAACAGCAGCCAACCAGCGAACAGTTCCTCCCTGGAGAACTGTCCAATCAGCTGAAAGCATCTCGCACATCGCCATCCAATCAACAAACACTACCCTTCATCACTTTGGTTATTTATTAATAGATGTCAAGAGAGCATCTATTACTTTAAATGATTAATTAATAATGATTTAGTGAAATGATTTTATATATACTAAAGAACATATAGCTTAAAATTATTTTAGTAGACAAGTAGCAATTTTCATATTTTGCGTTGTTTGTATTAAACTCATGATTAAACTAAACTCATGATTTTTTTTGATTTTTTTAAAACCATGTAAATATTGTTAATTGTAAAAAAAAAAAATCTTGTTGTTCGTGTTAATAGGCATTTAAGAAATAAAAATATGAATAATAATGCTACATTCATATTGATAAAAAAGTTCTACATTATCTACAAATCTTTTTTTTTCATTTCATAAATTATTTTAAGAAATCTTCCAGTGTTTTGTATAATTGCAATGCATTTTAATACAAGACTTGATCTCAATAAACAAGTAGCAAGCTATATATATAGTAGTATATGTATATACTAAATGACATATTTATTTCTTAAAATAATATATAATGTAATATATATAGCGGTCCTCCTGTGTCAATGACCAATCAGCAGGCAGCAGCGGTCGCTCGTCCTGTCAGTGACGTTTGAGCATGCGCCGGAAGTGTGGCGGAGCAAGTGCTCGGCTCGATCGACATGACTTTTCATCAGGAGCTGCTGGCCGCTGATCGATCAGAGAAAATGCAGTTTTTAGAGGCATAATAGCGGATTTATCTCATGACAGGACCACGCAGCTCCGCTTGAGGCCGCTGGATGGAGAAACAGCAAATATGGCGAGCTAACCGAGTGAGTTACTGTGTGTCTGGTGAGGTCAAATGAAGTGTCATGTAATTCTGACGGCGAGATTTTTTTTGCCTGGGGTGTCAGGTGGTATATTGTCTTGTGTAATGCGCATGTGCAGTTCTAGAGCGTCGACATAAATGACACTTATCCATGTACTGAATTTCTAAGAGTAAGGTTTAAGTTGGGTAGTAACGTATGTACATTCTGTCAAAAAGATATAGAATCTCAGAAACATCTTTTTTTTTTTTTTTTTTTTTTTACAATTGTACGATTGTTAAGTCCTTTTGGGACAGATTGTATGAGTGGTTGAAGACAAAACATGTAACACCTGCCTTTGGCTATCACATTGTTAAACTTGGTGTCTTTTTGGACTACAAAAATATTGAATTTTTTTGTATATTGACTTTCGTTCTTAACAAATAAAGATATTTTTAATTAAATCTGAGAGCTTTCTGTCCCTCCATTGACAGTTACGCAACTACCACTTTGACGCTTTAAAAAGTTCATAAAGAGATCGTAAAACTAATCCATATGAATTGAGCTGTTTAGTCCAATTTTTCTGAAGAGAAACGATCGCTTTATATGATGAACAGATTGAATTTAGGCTTTTATTCACATATAAACATTAATTTTTCATCAATTATTCACATATAAACATTAATTTAATCAAAAATATCTTCATTTGTGTTCCAAAGATGAATGAAAGTATTATTTTGGTTTGGAAAGGTTTGGAACAGCATGAGGGGGAATAATTAATGACAGAATTTTTATTTTTGGGTGAACTAACCCTTTAATGTAACCTTATTATAACAAGAAAAATAAATAAATAAAATACACTGCGGGGATGGCAAAAATGCATAGTTCACAAGATCTCAGATGCTCTATATCATACACTCTTTTTGTGTCAAGACATTATCTCTGCAGAACATAACCCAGCTGTCCCATGACCTTTGAACTCTGTACCTTCAGATCTGCAACAAAACATGCAGCTTTTATGAAATGTGATTTTGTCATTTCAGGTTATGCGGGAGAGGAGCGAGTGTGTGCGCGTGTGATTTAGTGAGTGAGGTCATCGGCCGCAATGATGCAACAGAACCGCAACATTCAGATCATCGAATGGGAGGATCTGGACAAGAGGAAGTTCTACTCGCTGGGCGTCTTCATGACCATGACCACACGGGCCGCCGTCTACCCGTTCACCCTGATCCGCACCAGACTGCAGGTGCAGAAGGGCAAGTCGCTCTACAACGGCACTTTCGACGCCTTCTGTAAGATTCTGAAGGCCGAGGGGGCGCGCGGCCTTTACCGAGGGTTCATGGTCAACTCGTTCACACTGATCTCAGGTCAGGCCTACATCACTACCTACGAGTTGGTAAGGAAATATGTGTCCTGTTACACGTCCGATAACACAGTCAAGTCTCTGGTGGCGGGCGGAGCGGCGTCACTGGTGGCCCAAAGCATCACGGTGCCCATCGACGTGGTGTCCCAGCAGCTGATGGTGCAGGGGCAGGGGTGTCAGCTCACACGCTTCAAACTCAAACCCAAGATGGCGATGACCACGTCCAAACACAAAGTCACATTTGGTCAGACCAGAGACATTGCGGTTCTGATTTTTCACACGGATGGATTTCGGGGTTTTTATCGCGGATATGTGGCGTCCCTGCTCACCTACATACCCAACAGCGCCGTCTGGTGGCCCTTTTATCACTTTTATGGAGGTAAAGAAAATCAATATTTAGTGATGCATCGAAATTATTTTCTGAGAGGTTGAACGACTTCAGATTTTTCTTAAAGTCCACATTTATGTGATTAAAGTCGAATCGACGTCGACTAGTCGCCGATGATGTCATAAATGAACATAAATAAGCCTGAACCTCGAGCTGAGACTCGAACGCTGGTTGCCTTGCGCACAGATATGGCATATGACACAGAGCTCCTACATAACAGCTTATTTTTATCGGTTCTTTTGTCGTTGGGTCGTTATATTCCTCAAGGATTTCTGCTCGTTCTAAATCAGATACAGATAAAGTAGCACAGTAGAGATTATATTTATATGAATGAATGCATTAGTGAGAGAGCGATTGCGTGTGAATTAATTCTACCCTGCATAGTAGTGAAACTGGGTTTTAGTTACTAAGAAATGCTAGAACTTTTCAGTTTGTAAACTATTTTATTGATAAATCACAGAACAGTGTTGACAATACATTTCTACGGTACTGAATGTTTCTGTGTGCCCGTGATGTGCGAGCTTGTGTGTGTGTGTGTGTGCGCGTTGCAATGCTGGAGCGCATTTGTTTAGAACGCAGATTAATTTACATGTACAATAATCTGCTTAAAACGTGCATAAACCCGATCAATTTTGAGCATCCAGATGGTATAATCAAACACATCTAGTGGAGCGCTCTCGGAGTATGCATTTATTTGTCATTTTAATTGTTGGAAACGGAGCGTAAAAATTTGACTTCAAAGATTTCTTATCCTGTTGCGCCCTCTATAGGCCATGATGAGCGACTAGTCGACATCAAGCTAAAAGTGTCATGGCAGAGCATTAAATTTAACTAGTCAGTGCAACCCATTGGTTCCATTCATTTTCTCCATTGGGAAATATATATATATTTTTAACAATAACTTCTAAACCTTTAAAGACAGACCTACTGTGAACTCAGAGGTTGTTTATCAATGGTATATGCTTTTGTTAAAGCCATCAGTTCACATTTCACATTTTAACACGTATATTTTTAAAGAAATTCCTGGTGAAAAACTACATCACCCATGATGCTTTGAAGAAAAATTCCACCAATCAGGCCAGAGCAATGAAGCAATGTCATTTGCAATGCTTTCATGGGATTATAGTTCTTTTCCTCATGTACACAGTCTAGTGTTTTTACCTCTTTTTGTCTGATTTTCAAATACTTTTTTCTTCAAATCAAAGTTTGTAATGTTGTGATTCATGGCCTAAAAAGTTTAAACAGACTTTTTTTTTTTGATCAATGGGAAAAATAATTGGAAATAATACTTTGTCGTTATATAATTGTTTCTACTCCAGTTGGTTGTTTAACTATTGACATTTAAACGCGCTGTGTGTGTTTCCAGAGCAGCTCTCTAAACTGGCCCCTGCTGACTGTCCGCACCTCCTCCTGCAGGCCGTGGCGGGACCGATGGCTGCCGCGACTGCCTCCACCCTGACCAACCCCATGGACGTGGTCCGAGCCAGAGTACAGGTACAAACACAGCCAAATCAGTTGCCTCTATTATGCGTTTTCAAATATTAACTTTCGTACAGCATGTAATAAAGCTGTTTGTGAATGTAAAATGCCTGTAAAGTCTTAAAGATCAAAGTGCTCGACAAATAAAGTGATGGTCTCCTAAAATAAAGAACCGTGGGTGCAGGAGAACACTATAGTTCATTTATGTAAGTGAGGATAGCAAATAAAGTAAATTGTGACATATTATACCCAAAAATGATTCATAGAGTGACTACCAGTAAAATTTGGGAGCAAAAATGATTCAGACACTTTGACCTGACCATGGTTTGCTTAAGTGGTTTTTCTTAATTGCTAATGCGACCTTTTTACACCACAGACTGAACAAAATTAAGCATTGCTTGGTAATTGTTTGAGCTAAATTGGTATTATCTAATTGTGTACTTAAATTTAACAGCTGACAGACTGATTTCTTGTCACATTTTATTTCCATTTTCTAAACTATTGCGAACAAACTGATAATGTGAGAAATGTTGAAGGTGTCTGAATAAATTTAGGTTTGACTGTATATTTTATATATATAATTTTCAGATTTTTAAAAAATAAAAATAAAAAATGGATTCATTTTTATTAATTTATGTAATTGAATTGTACATAAATGCTAAAAAAATTGTATGTATGTGTATTTTAATTTATTCATTTTTTTTAAGTCTTTAAAAATAAAAACTAAATTCATTTTTAAAATATATTCATTTATCATGTTAGTCCAGGTATTTCAGAAGTTTCCGTGCTGCTTTCTGATCCTCACAATGACTGTCTTGTTACTGTATCTTTAAGACTTCTATATGTAAATGAGCTCTATTATAAACTAACCTGCCTGATCTCTGTGTACTGATGAAGTTCACACTGTTGATCATCATCAGGTTCAGGTTGGAGTTAATAATTTTGATAATGTGATCATATCGTGTGTTTTTGCTACAAATAGTATATCACACTTCTATTTCAAAAAGCGACAACTGTTCTTGTCTTTCAAAATATGGCTCTTTAAAATGCATTATCATGTAATTATTGTGATCAATACAGATTTGAGCTTTGTGAGATAATACACTGTGCGTGTGTTTGCAGGTTGAAGGTCGTTCGTCTGTGATCGAGACGTTTAAGCAGCTCCTGGCCGAAGAGGGAGCGTGGGGTCTCACGAAGGGTCTCTCTGCACGCATCATTTCCTCCTTGCCCACGTCTGTCATGATCGTCATTGGTTACGAGACACTGAAGAGACTCAGTCTGCGTCCTGAACTGGTGGACAGCAGACACTGGTGAAAACACTCACCTGACGCTATACCTCAGCCTTTTAAACAGATGCCTTTTATTATTTTCTCACCATTTATAAGGACCAGGCAATAATTGACTCTCAAATGTGAAATCTATTTCCTTTCTCGTGGATTTTGTATATTTTGTGACCTTTAATCTGTTCCCGTGAACTCTGGCCCATACTAGTATTTTGTAACGAGACGTCATGGAGCTCCTTATATTTGTCTTTTTCGCCTGGTATGTGTTTGTTTATCAGAGGTTTTGAAGTGAAAAATACTTTGACATGGTGAATTCGAGTCTTTCTTGTGAATCTCATGCAGTGCCCTTCACTTCATATGACAGGAAGTGAGATAATCACATACATGCTAGGAAGAATGAGAACATGTCTGAGTCCGAAATCTGAAAAATGCTGCCTTCGGAGGATGATTTCCAAGGCATCAAGGCACGTCTGAATGCAATGTTAGCTTCACTTCCTGTCTCCTGAGAAACCTTCATCTGATCCATTTTTGAAGGCAGTATAGATGTATCCTTCACTGCCTTTGATATCCCACAGTCCGGTGCTTTCCATCCCATGACAGTTGAGCTAAAAAATAAAGATGGTGCCTGAAAGTTGTGGTTGGTGGTCAGTTTGTTTGTAAATGTACGTTTTTGACCAACATGTATAGCTAGATATTACTGTTGTATTAATTAAATATTTGCTTATCACCAAAGCTCGCTCTATTTGGCTGTAGATCGTTAAACCGTTACACTGCCTCAGAAGTTTGTCTGAAATCAGGCAACCTTTGTGCAAACGTCGCCTTCAAAATCATTGCCTGATAAGGCAACAAGTCAGCTGGCTAAGTTTTGGGACGCAGCCCATGTATGGGCTTTTCACACTTGAAACCGTTGGGGATTTTTAATTTTCTGAATATTCAGGTTTTGAGATTTCACATCGTACGTTTTTAAACCCTGAGCTTGTGCCGGTTCACACAGAATGCGTTTTTGCTGTTAAAAACATGAGGCAGGTCAGTGGAACAAACTAAACAAAAATAGGCAGTGGGCCAAGTCTGCTTTTCTCCTTTAGTTTTAGATTTGATAGATCTCTCTTTTTTATATATATAACTGGCTATATAAATTGTTGTTGAGCACATTACTGCTTGTTTCCAACGTCAATTGTTGCACATTAAAAATATCACGTAGCTAACACTCGCTAGCTAACCACAAAATATTAGCCGGAGTAAGAACCAATCAAAGCTCTTGTTGTTACCTTGTCAATTTGAGTTGGCCAATCACGTCATTATTTTAAACCTTTTTACAGTCTATGATTTGAACCGGGTTCCCGAAGACCTGACATTTGATTAACGTGTGAAAGTTTCTGACTGTACAAAGGTCATGAATATTTAATAAGGCAAGGCTTGACTAAAGGTTGCTGCAAGTTATTCATGGTTATGGAAATATCAGGGCAATTTTTTGTGAAATTCATGCCTGGAAATATTTATAGTAAATACAAATTTACTAATAATATAATAAATATCCCATTGGCTTTAAACTGCTCTTTGTGTGCATTCACTATACAATGATTGTTAAATTACAACAGGATAAATCATGCAAATTAATTTGTGAACCCAGGGTTAAATAGTGTGAAAATCCTTAGTTAGAAAGTATCATGTTCTACTGTATGACAATTCAACCTCATTTGGACTGTCATATTTTGTATTTTTCTTATACCTTGTCATTCACTTTCAGAACTGTGTTTTGGGGCCACAGTTTTTACAGTTGATATGTTTTATAAATAAGCTTCATATGCCATAGTAGATTGTTTCTAACTGAATCTGTCACAATCAGGTGTGAATTAAATGAACCGCACAAGAACGGAACCGTTTGGGATTTCTTTGCTAGTGTAAAGGCTCACAAACACTAAAGCATTTAAGGTCTCTGAATTGCTAATGGTGGTGCAGTAACATTTGGTGGCATGTAGAGGGCGTGAATTGATCAGAACAGCCATGTTTGCACTCAAGTCGTGAAAAACAGTTGGAAATATCAGGGAATTTTAACATTTGATTTGATTTTAGTCATAAATTAAGAAATTAAACTATAATGATTATCATACTTCCTAGTAAAAATGTCATCTGTCAAAATGAATGTGTGAATCCTGAACAAGCGAGACAGCGACAAGTTTTTAGAAAAAAAAAAAAACATTTAATTGTATCACCATATATAGATGTTGACATTGCAATGAAACTATGAAATAAAAAATCATTTGCATGCATGTTGTGGTCTTGAGTGGGTGTGGCTATCAGAGCTTCACTTCGGACAGTCGTAAATGTGAATGGCTCTGTCATCACCGGCAGAGACGATTTTGGAGCCCGTGGGGTTGTATTTCACACTCCAAACCTGCACACACACACATTATCATTGAAAATTTTCAGCATCATTACTCCAGTCGTTAGTGTCACATGATCCTTCAGAAATCATTCTAATATGTTGATTTGCTGTTCAAGAAACATTTCTTATTATCAGTGCTGATTAATATTTTGTGGAAACTTTTTTTTTCACGATTCTTTGATGAAAAGAAAGTTCAAAAGAACTTTTTATTTCAAATGTATTTATTTATTTCAAAAAGTACTCTTTTGTAATATTTTAAATGCCACTTTTGATCTAATTTTTATGCACCTTGTTGAATAAAAGTACTAATTTCTTAAAAAAGAAAAGTTTTATCTTACTGAACCCAAACGTTTGAACGGTAGTGTAAATGAATGTAACGTCACTCACCTGGTCCTGATGATCAAAGAACGTGTTCACACATGATCTGCTGCTTGTGTCCCACACCTTCACACTCTTATCAGACGAACTACAAAAGCAACAAATAAGAGTTCAGAAACACACAAACTACATTTTGATTCCTAGTTTCCCTTCATTTGAGGTGCATCAGCTCTTGCCTGGACACAAAGTGCGTATCGTCGGGTGAAAAGGCCACGTTCAGCACCCAGGACCCGTGACCGCTGAGTGTCCCTGCCAGGTTAGCGTGTTGCCTGTAAGACACACAAACAACAAGAACGTGAGACTCAGATGCGCTTGGAGGTGAAAGAAACGCATAAATCAGCTTGAATCCAAACGTACACGTCATAAATCTTGATGTAGCCATCGTCTGATGCGGTTACCAGCAGCTGAGAGTCTGGAGAAAAGGTCAGAGACCTGATAGGCATCGCATGACCTGGAAAAAGAGCACATCTTATTTTCATCCCACTTATTGGCTACTGTACCTTAAGACTTCTGTATGTAAACTGTGTGGTATAATCAGTAATGAAGCAGTACAATACACACTTCTGGTCACATGTTTAAAATAATTAAGATGATTGATTAGAACGATTTCTGAAGGATCATGTGACACTGAAGACTGGAGTAATGATGCGGAAAATACAGCTTTGATCACAGGAATAAATTAAGTTTTAAAGCATTTTAAAACAGAAAAATGTAATTTAATATTTTCATATTTTTACTGTATCAAATAAATGCAGCCTTGGTTAGCAGAAGAAACTTCTTTCACAAACATTAAAATGTCTCAATTATTCCAAAAACTGAAGCACATCTAACATTCAACATTATTTCCAGTTGTACTTTTTGGAGCAAATGAAAGGGACGAGTGAGCGATGGAGCGATGCAGGAAGACGAAGAGGAAAAACGGAGTCGCGCAGTGACAGGAGCCGAAGTTTACGGCCCTTGAGGGACGGCCAGAGACGCAAACAGGTTTTTCCATCGCATTCACGTAACCCATAATCACTCTAAATGCATCTAGCAGACCAACGGACACTGCTTTAATAGAGGAAACTAAAGACAGCTTGAATCATGTGGGAGACGATTTTCACCTTCCAGCGTGTGCAGGAGTTTCCCAGTCGCAATATCAAATATATTAATGATTCCGTCTATTGCACCGCTGGCTAAGTGCTTTCCGTCTGGACTCTAGAGAGAGAGGGGGAGAGAGAGAGAGAGAGAGAGAGAGAGAGAGAGAGAAAGAGAGAGAGAGAGAGAGAGAGAGAGAGAGAAAGAGAGAGAGAGAGAGAGAGAGAGATTAGGGCCTGGAAAATCAGTATATTTTTTGGAAAATCAGCATTTTATATTAACTTTAACGTGCAATGTGAATGAAATTTGGACTGTGTAATTGTGAAATCAGTTCCTTTTTGAACAGAACACCAAAGTAAACTGTTACTTGTTTCCCACAATCTTTGACTTATACATTATTTCCATGATTGTTTTCATTACTTCTATCATGGTTTGTGATTACTGGAAAATAATAGCAATTACACTCAATAATCTGAGTATAACAAAAACATGCATGTTTAATATGTTCGACATGGATTTTAGACTGTTTTAATTTGACTTGAATATGAATTTTTAAGTCATTAAAAATCTCAACAAGACAGGAAATTAAACGTTCTAAATAAAAGTCTATGATCTTTTGTATGTTTGATGCATCAGTGCATGCATATTATTCTGAAGGAAAAAACAAACATATTTCAAAATAAAAAATGTGATAAATACACCTCCGTTCAAAAGTTTGGAGACAGCACGATTTTTTAATACTTTTATTTGGCAGGGATGCATTAACTTATTTATAAGTGACAGTAAAGAAATTTAAAATGTTTTCAACATTGATAATAATAAGGAATTTTCTTAAGCAGCAAATCAGCATATTAGAGTAATTATGCTGAAAATTCAGCTTTGACATCACAGAAATAAAAATACATTTTGAAATATATTCAAATAGAAAAGAGTTATTTTAAATTGTAATAATATTTCACAATATCACTGTTTTTACTGTATTTTTGATCAAATGATTGTGGCCGAACACTACTGTGCACTGAATATTCTATTTTTTTGTTTCACAGAAATAAAACATTAGTGTCATTGACTTTAAATGCTATCAGATTATCGTTACCCATGCAGAATCATTTCAGACACTCAAAGATTCTTACATAGGCGATGCTCAGAATGAATTTCCCTCTGGTGTCCAGCGAGTACTCCTTTTTCCCGCTTTCCACGCCGAAGATGTTGACCTTCCCTAGATGGCTGCCAGTGGCGATGTATTTGGAGTCAGGAGAAAAGGCGACCGCCCAGGCGTCAACTGCAGACGGGAAAGAAAGAGTTCGTCACACCAGTGTTATTATATACTATTATAATTTTTTGTATTTTCTGTGTTCATTTTAATTTTAAAGTTTAAAAAAATTGTTGTGTATGTAATTTTCTTGTTTCTTTAAGTGCCTCTATTATGCTTTTTTTTTAAATATTGCCTTTCAGGTAGAGTAAAATAAAGCTGTTTGTGAATGTAAAATGTCCGCTAAGTTTAAAAAATGTATGTGAGCGACAAATAAAGTTATTGTCTCGTCTCCTCAAAAGAAATAATCGATTCTGAACTGCCGAAACGAGTCGTGAGTAATTCCAGTCTCACAGTTTGCATAATGCCAGCCTGGTCTTCATTGGCTGTCCTGCGAACAACGTCTAATTTGACCCTCAAACACTGTAGTTGTAGCTGAGACTGGAAGAGTTTGGATTGTGTTGTCGAAGTGACGAGAAGCTCACCTGGACCCGCGTCCATGGACTTGATCTGTTTACCAGTCTCCAGGTCCCAGAGT